GGCATATGTGGCAACATCATAGTTTGAACTCGTGACCTTGAGTTTGCAAGACACACTCCCTCTCCCAGCCCCCTGGAGTCTCTTGTTTGAGCCACTGTTTACCTTTTGAAGAAAATGATCGTAATTCTAATAACCTAGATTATTTGCATTGTTTGAAGGAGATTTTTTTTTTTTTTAGATTTACAATTTTTTTTTTTTATTAGTGAAACACCATGAGGTACAGTTGTAGATTTACAATTTTTTGTGCTTGGGTTTGATTATACAATGATCAGATACCCATCCCTCCACCAGTGCCCATTTTCCACCACCATGGATAATATCCCCCCCACCCCCATCCCCCTATCCCCCCTGCCTCTGTGGCAGGGCAATTGAAGGAGATTTTTGTGGGGCTGGAGCGATAGTACAGCAGGTAGGGAATTTGCCTTCCACACGGCTGACCCGGGTTCAATTCCCAGCATCCCATATGGTCCCCCGAGCACTGCTAGGAGTAATTCCTGAGTGCAGAGCCAGGAGTAACTCCTGAGTATTGCTGGGTGTGATGCAAAAAAAAATTTTTTTTGTGTGTATATACTTTTTTTTTCATTTAATATACGTAATTTATTTCTGTGACATCTTATTTTAAAGATTTGGTATAATGAGTAGAAATCAATATCTTCAATCTGATTCATTACGATACCCAATATCTTCCTTAATCTGCTTTTCCTATTATTTTCAAATTTAAAATATTTTTAATAAGAACTTTTTTCTGAAGATTAGTATTGTGGATGGTCTTAAATTGAGTGGGAAATAAATTCAGTTTTAGCCTTGAAGATTTGAAGAATGTCAATCTGAAGAATTAAAAAACAATCTTGATAGGGTTTTTTGTTTGTTTGTTTGGTTTGGTTTTTCTTCTTGGGTCACACCGGTGGGGCTCAGGGGTTATTCCTGGCTCATGCACTCAGGAATTACTCCTGGCGGTGCTCAGGGGACCATATGGGATGCTGGGAATCAAACCTGGGGTTGGCCGTGTGCAAGGCAAACACCCTACCCTCTGTACTATAGCTCTAGCCCCAGGATTTTTTTAAGTAAAATAATCACCAACATAAATCTGTGATTTTTTTTTCTTTTTTCACTGTAAGAAATAAACAAAATAGACTCTAATGAGTAATTTGTGTGATTTGCTATTTAAATGGAATTGTAATGTTTAAAAAAAGAGGAATGTTGTTTGATAATTACAGTAGAGGGTAAAAAAATTACTATTTTTGCTTTGCTTCCAAAAATAAAGGTAGCTCTAGTAAAATGTGTGGAGACTGTAAAATTGAAAGCCATTCACATAAGAGTAAGAAGAGATGAGCCTAGTAATGAATCAGATGGCTGGCTCCCTGAGAGGAAATTGCTTGTGCAATTATAGACCTACTTGAAGGGAAGCTAATTACCCTCAAGATTTTGCTCTCACTTTTTTGGGAAGCTGAACAAAAAAGTATCTCTTTGTTCCACGTGATGGCCTATTAAATAAAATAAATACTTCATCTATAGAGTTTGGGTAGTGTAGGCTTGTTTGGATTGCTTCCCTTCCTGTGAGTTTCCGCTCTTTGTTGGAATGCCCGTGTCCTTCTCTGCTCTTCTCGGGCTGGAGAGAATTGGCAGATCTGGGTTTCTTGCTGCTGGTCCGTGGGTTCCCTGCTATATATACATAATTACCGCACTTAATTTTCCAAATCACAGAGGGATTTCTTAGATCTGGTTTTGAAATAAGAGGCAGTTTGGGATAAATAATCCGTTTTGGAAATGACGCTTGGAGTAGCAGATATGAGGAGGCAGCAAAGTTTGAATTCTGATGGAGAACACTTTGGGCTTCAGCTGCCTTTTCTTTTCCTTTTTAAAAAATGGCTTTTGGGCCATACCACCTGTGCTCAGGGACCATTCCTGGCTCTGTGCTCTGGAGTCACTCCTTGCAGTGCTCTGCGGAACCGTGTGTGGTGTGGTACTAGGCATTGAAGCAGGGTTGGCTGCATGCAGGGCAAGTGCCTTAAGCCCTGTCTTTTTTTTTTTTCCCCTTTTGGGTCACACCCATTGATGCTCAAGAGTTGCTTCTGGCGGTGCTTGGGGGTGGATATGGGATGCTGGGAATCGAATCTGGGTCGGCTGCATGCAAGGCAAATGCCCTACCTGCTATGCTGTTGCTCCAGCCCCAGACCTGTGCTTTTTCTCTAGTGCCGGTATTCTTAACTATAGTGAAGAAAATAACCGTGATCTAGTGAGTGTTGTCCTCTCGCTGAAGGGAACAACTCTGAAGTGTTGTTCACCAGTTCTCCTTCGTGAAGGAGCTGCCCCTTTCCCATCTCCCTTTTTCTCTCCCATCTAATTCTCCTCAGAGTGTTTAGAGAACAAAACAGAACATGCCTCCATCTCCACTCTGGTCCTTCAAGCCAAATGTCTTCCCTCTTCTTTCCTCTCTTGTACTTAAATTTTCTCTCTGGAAGAAGACATCATGTGAATTATTTTTCTCTTGCGCTTACTCCAGACTCCTCCCTCTACTTTTGAGTCTGCGGACGCCACCCTGAGGTGAGTTTTCCTCACTGCCGTGCTCATTGCTAAGTCCTGTGGGCTCTCCTTGGTCCTCATTGTCGTGTCATTGAGTCTTGGGTGTAGTTAACCCTACAGAATCTTTTCTTCCTTCAGCTGCCGAGACCCCTACACTCTCCTGTGTTCTTTCCCGTCTCCTTGATGAGCTCTCTCCTTTTCCTGTGTCCTAATGCTATGGATACCACATCCTTCTTCCATCCTTATTACCTGTACTTACTCTCTATCTCAGCTCTAAGTGTGTGTGTGTGTGTGTGTGTGTGTGTGTTGGTTTGTGGTATTCAGCTGGGCAACTTTGTGCAGTTTGGTGCTGGGGAGTGTTCAAGGCACCATGGGTACTGCGGGACCAGTGCCCGGCTTCCCGCACGCTTATCCATGTTGAGCCGTCTCTCAGGCATTTTAACTCCAGACGCCTACACCCCCTGCTCCCTGACTGCTTCCACTTGTGTGCCAGCTGCTCCGTGTGGCCCAGACGCTGCGTTCCCTCTGCAGGTCTCTCTCCCTCTCGCCTTCACAAACTCCTGCCATCCCCTCCAGTTTGAAGGCGAAGATCCATCCTCTGTCTTAGATCCCACGTCAGTCAGCTGTGGCAGCGTCACTCGCAAGAATGAACAGCGACTCTGTGTGGATCCAAGGGTAAAGGCAAATGCACTCTGAAGGGAAACCAGAGCTAAGTGGGTCGAATGGTGACTTTGACCACCTTCATCTCCCCACCGTGGCCTCTGTGGTCCCCACTGTTGCTGTTCCCTGTCCAGAGCCTCCCGCTGGCTCACCCTGTTTCTGTCCCTGCCTATCTCTGTCATGTTCGTGTTGGTGCCAGCTTGTAATTAATGTTTCAGACAGTCACGTGTGTGTGTGTCTCTCTCTGTTTTTTTTCATTTTTTCCTTTTTGGGTCATACCCAGCAATGCACAGGGGTTACTCCTGACTCTGCACTTACTTCTGGCAGTTCTCTGGGGACCATGTGGGATGCTGGGAATCGAACCCGGGTCAGCTGCGTGCAAGGCAAATGCCCTACCCGCTGTGTTGTCACTCCAGCCCCATGTGTATCTCTTAAGTTCATGCTTTGTGACTGTGGACTGGTACCTTAAAATTGGCCATGGGGGAGAGAGAGAGAGAGAGAGAGAGAGAGAGAGAGAGAGAGAGAGAGAGAGAGAGAGAGAGAGAGAGAGTGTTTTGGTTTTAGGGCCATACCCAGTGCTTCTCAGGTGTTCTCTTACTCTGATTCTGTGAGCAGGGGTCACTCCTGGTGGTGCTCAAGGGACCATATGGGGTGCCAGGGATTGAACCTGGGTTGGTTACGGGCATGGCAAGGGTCTTACCCTCTTCATTAGCACTCCAGCCCCAGGGAGTAGTTTTTGTACTTTAGAAATCAATAAAGGCATCACAAATCATCCAACTATATATTCTTCCCTGTTTAGAACCTGACTATCCTGTTTAGAACACTGTGATTTCAAGTAGAAACAAACAAAACCTAGTGATTTGTCTCAACTGTAGTTCAGTAAAGGCCCATGAGGTTAAATGGGTGACTTAGAGGTGGATGGTAAGGAGATGGGTAGACAAATTATTATTATTAATATTCTTGGGTTTGGGGTCACATCTGGCAGTGCTCAAGGCTGACTTCTGGCTCTGCACTTGGCGATCAGTCCTGGCCGCGTGGATGCGTAGGGAGATGAGTGGAAAAATTATTTTGTTTATTTTGTTTGTTTGCTTTGGGGTCACAACCTGCTGTGCTCAAGGATGACTCCTGCTTATGCACTCAGGCCTGAGTCCTGGCGGGGCTCAGGGAACCAGATGTGGTGCCAGGAATCGAATCGGGCTTTGTGTAAGGCAAATGCCCTACCTGCTGTACTATCACTCTCACCCCTGGATAAATTGTTTCTATGCCATCTTAATCTGTTGCATGAGACCTATTAACTTTTTCTTACAATTAAAGAGCTGTTCTTTCTTAAGAGTATCTGATTGTATGCCTCTAGAACCTGAGATCAACACTTGATTGCAAAAACAGATTCTCAAATGAAATGCAAGGTTGACAGGCGGCTCGGTATTTTAATTAACATAAGAAATTAAAATAGTCAAGTCTGTTATAAGAACATTTATAAACATGCAGTTCGCAAATAGAAAATTTGAACTTAAAACTCGTAGTAATTCTAAAATCTGCTTATGTGCCATTTTGCTGAAGGTTAATCTGATCACTTAGAAATAATTAGGTATTTATGGAAGTGTATTTCTGCCTGAATCTTTTCTTGGCGGGGGTGGGCGATCAGAGTGGTTGAGAGGTAGCATTTGCATGTTGAATTCTAATTCAGTAAAGCGCTAAAAGAGTCACTAGGTTTACTTTCGCTTCCAGATATTGTAGCCTTAATCATGTCAGCGTTTTGATAACATGTTGTCTGAGACATTAAAGAATGTAAACGGAAATATGATCTTCTCTTGTAGGGTATATTTCAGAAATCGCTGGGTAAAGACTGTTCACCCAGTCGTGCATCAGTACTGTTTGATCTCAAGCGCACATTCCACCTTTCAGATGCCACAGAAGGAAGATATTCTTAAGCACCGCGTGGTGGTGGTGACATTGAATACTTCCCAGTACCTCTGTCAGCTGGACCTGGAACCCGGTATGCTGATTCAAGACCCGAGATGGTGTCTCTGAGCGCGTTCAGTGTAGATGCAGGGTTAGCAGACCACCGCTTGCGGGCCAGGTCTGGCCCGCTGTCCGTTTTCATCAAGTTTTATTGGCTGCAACGCAGCAGTGCACGTGTTTACCTGTCATTGGTGGTGCACGTGTGCTGTGGCAGCTGAGTTAGTGAGCTCAGCAGTGATCATATGCCCAGCCACAAAGCCAAAAAGCTTCCTTGATGGGAAAAGAAATGCTCAACCCCTAAATTTGATATGTGACAGCTCTTTGTTCTCTAATCAGGCACTTATTATTGATCATTGTTAAAATTCTAATAGTGTGATTTAAATTTCTTTCTTTTTTTTTTTTCTTTTGTTTTCGGGGATCACACCTGATGGTGCTTAGGGCTTACTTCTGTCTCTGTGCTCAGGGATCACTCCTGACGGGCTCGGGGGACCAAATGGGGTGCCGGGGATTAAACGCGGGTCGGCAACATACAAGGCAAGTGCCTTACCCTCTGTACTATTTCTCCGGCCCCAATTTTCTAAAGTGTTTTGAAGTACTTTGTGTTTTGTGGTATAGAGGCAACAATCATAATAGATTCTTTTGTGCTGTTATATAAGAGCTCAAAATTATAAAAGTGTTATGCTTATTTTATTTTCTTATAGCAACTATGCAAAGTCAAACTGTTTTTGTTGTTGTTTTTTGGGCCACACCCAATGATGCTCAGGGCTTACTCTGGGGGCTTTGCGTTCAGGTGTTACTCCTGCAGGCTAGGAGGATCATAATGGGTGCTGGGGATCAAACCTGGGTTGACCATGTGCAGGGCAAGTACCCTATCCACTGTACATTATCTCCCCATCCCTTCAAACTAATAGTTTATAAAGTTGTTCCTGGTTTATTATTTTTTTTGGGGGGGAAGAGGCCACGCGTGGCTGTGCTTAGGACTCCTAATGACACTGAACTTAGGGGTCAGTCCTGTCAGAGCTCAGGAGACCATTCAGAGGGTGCCATGAATCAAGCCAGGGTCGGTCACATGCAATGCAAGCACCCCACCCACTCTACCATCACTTCAGCCCTGTTTTATGAAGCTATAAAGTGATAAGATAAGTATGATAGAATTTAGAATTTTAAGACAGTTGCTTTGAAAAAATACTTACATTCACTTTCCTATTATAACGACTGATATTCCCATTTGACTCTGCTTCAGAGCCAGTGACACGTTCTTTTGGTTATTCCAGTCCCCAGGAGGTAGAGACTGTTCTCGTCACCTGGTGTTTGGCACCTGGGCCAGGGTATAGACACTGGAGGCCCTTGATGAACCTCTGTGTGACTTAAATGAATGGTGCTGGCTGCCCCTTTTTTCCTTTCCTTTCTTTCTTTCTTTTTTTTTGAGCGTAGATTTGGTTTTGGAAAGGTTCCAAATCTAAGACATAAGCTAGGTAAGCAGCCGCAGCAGCCCTTAGGGGTCTAGCAGAAACCACATGCCTCTCAGGTAATGAGACTGATTTTCTGGTGCGTGCAGCTCAGAGCTGGCTGGTGAGGGCAGTTACAAAAGCAGAGTTTCAGAACTGTTTTGAACAGTGACTGCATCACTGGACTGAGTTAGATTTCCTCCCAAGTGGCTTCTTTGAATGGAACAACACTTATTTGAAATGTAAATTTTGGTATGTTTATTTAGCAGTCAGTCTTACTGCTTGACGATTGTACTCTGCCTATTTTTCACATAGATTAAAACTCCCGGCCTCGTAAACTGTATGTTTTGTGAGAAAGAGTCAAGAGTGGTTTTGAAAAACAAGTATTCTTCGAAAATACTTACTTGAAGAATACTTACTGAAAGTTGAATATGTTTTTTTTTTCCCTGGCATTGTTTATGTTTTATGTCATTCAGTTCTCATGCCAGCTCTGTGGAGGGTTATTTTACAAATAAGAACATTAAGACTTGGGCTAAATCAGTTTGATTAATTCAAGTTACTAGCTAAAGAAATATCTATAATGTGACTTATCCAGTGCCTGAATCAAGCTTAATTAAAACGATACATGAAACTTCTTACCAGTCCTCGTTTTTTTCCTTTTGACCCTTTAACTTTCTATAGGCCATCTCCCTTAATGTTTGCTGTGAAACAATAGCACAGGTTCTCACGCGGGAATGATATATGCAGCTGTGTCTTGCTTGGGTCACTCTTGATAAATAGCAGTTACTGATGCTTGTACTGTCAACCATAGCCCCTTGTCTGAATGAATCATGATGCGGTTATTAGTTTAACTTATAAAGTTCCCAGCATTGCAAAATTGTATAAACAGATTGCGACTTGTTAGTATTCATAAAAATAGGGATTTAAAAATGGGGTTACGTTCTTAAGTCAGCAACCGAGGAAGCCGGTTAATCCATAACCATAGATGCAGGATTTTTGCTTGTTTGTGTGTTTGATTTTGGGTCCACACGCAGTGGGATTCAGGGCTTACTCCTGGCTCTGCACCCAGCGTTCACTCCTGGTGGGCTTGGGAGACTTTTTGGGGTGCCAGGGATCTGACCTGGCTTGGTTGCTGCATGCCAGGCCAACGGTTTGCCTGCTGTACCTCTTTCTGACAGGGACTCTGGATTTCTGTAGCTCTCCACCCTGAAGAGAAGCTACTTTGTGTCCTTTGCCATGCAATGAGAGCCCTCTTCTCCCACCCAGAAGGAGGTGTTTGCCTCTCTTGCCCTCTCAGGGACAAAGGGGCTTTCCTGCTCTCTGCAGAGTCCGGTGCCCTAGCAGAGCTGGAGCAGCAGCCTGAGCGTGGAGTGTCTCCTACTCTGGTCTTTGCATCCGGGGATAGGGGTGATGCTTTGGGTCAAACAAGTCCTCACTTATTCAGAGCCAGCGCTCTGCCCATTGAGTGACATCCTCAACTAACAACATACTTTCGTTTTGTTTCATTTTGGTTTTAGTTTTTGGGCCACACCTGGTGGTACTCGGGGCTGACTCCTGGCTCTGTGTACAGGGACCACTCGTGGTGGTGCTTGGGGTAGGCAGTACCATGCCATTGATCAAAGTAGGGTTGGTTGCGTGCATGGTCTTACCCCTATCCTATATTGCTGACCCAATAATACAAATTCTCGACAGTTGTTCCCTTTCATTTTTGTAGGTTGTTTTTCTTTCTTTTTTTTTTAAAGCAAGGGTAGGATTTAGACTAAAAACTCTGTTATCTATAACTGTCTCACCTAAAAAATGAAATTAGTGAATTTATTTGTGGATACCCTTTTCTTTCTTTTGCTTTTTGGGTCACACCCAGTGGTGCACAGGGGTTAGTCCTGGCTCTGCACTCAGGAATTACTCCTGGTAGTACTCAGGAGACCATATAGGATGCTGGGGATCGAACCTGGGTCAGCCGCAGGCAAGGCAAATGCCCTACCCGCAGTACTTACAGCTCCAGCTTCCGATACCCTTTTCTCTTAGTCAAAGTTGGATTGTGTCTTTCTTCTTTATATTAGGTTTTGACTGGTTGCTTATGAGTTGGCGTTCTATTAATTTTGGTGTTTGACCAGATAGTGAAAGGGCATATCGGTACTTAGTTACAAGTCCTTCTTTTTTGGCAAAATGTCACTCTCGTACTTTTGTAGACCTTTCTATATATAACAATGCAGCTGTTGGTCTTTGGGACCTCCATATGCCACTTATGTGTCTCTTACTGAATGAGATAGTTGCTCCTTTTGACTCCGATTTTTAAATGATGATTTAAATTCACAGTTTTCTACGGTTGGGACTTAGACTTTGGGATTTGACTCTTAATTGAATTGGCACACTAACAGTCTTTCCTTAGCAGAAATGAAAAAAAGACGAATCGTTCATGTGTATCTGCTGTAATGCGCTTTACTGTGTTTACACTGTGCTTCGTAGGGTTTTTTACGCACATTCTGTTAGATGAAGCTGCCCAGGCCATGGAGTGTGAAACCATTATGCCTCTAGCATTAGCAACGAAGAGTACTCGGATTGTGCTGGCCGGAGACCACATGCAGGTAAGGCCCCCACATCCCTGCCGTCACAGTGAAAGGGTGCTGGACTGTATGTTCACATAGCTCATATTCTAGGTTCTAAAACATGCCGTGGAGTTGTACCCTGTGTTATATTTCAAGTGCTTTAAATGTTTGGGCCACTCCCAGCTTTGGGGGGTTGCTCCTCGAGACCAAACCTGGGCCCCCTACATCCAAAACATGCACTTAGCCCATTGAGAATCTCCCCGGCCTAAGTATTTGTCCTAATAGGGGAGAGGCCGAGGGGAGGAAGGCATTTCTGAAGGAAAATTATTTACCTCACCACCTTCTTTGTTTGGATTTAGTGCTTTTAGAATGAACGTCAGTATTATAGCTTTTCATGTTTATTAATGTGAAGTTTAATTATCATATGGGTTCTTATTCTTTTCTTTATACAATAAATTTTAGGGACTATAGCCATAGTACAGCAGGTAAGGCCAACCTGACTTCCATCTCCCGCATCCCATATGTTTGCCTGAGCACCGCCAGGAGTGATTCCTCAGCACAGAGCCAAGAGTAATCCTGAGCATCGCTGGGTGTGGCCTCCAAACAGAAAGATAAAATAAATTTTAACTGTGCTACCTATAGTATTCCAATTACTGCCCCTTACATTTGTTTTGGGAAGTGTGGTTAGTGTTTTGCTATCAAAGGAAAAAAAAAAAAGCCTCAGATGAAAATAGCAAGGAATATACCAGACATTATGCATTTGAAGACACACATGGAAAGAGAAAGGCAGTTTGTATTTTATCAAATTGTAATGTGTTGTCTGTTTTTATCTGTTTGCCTATTTATAAATGAAATATCTGCTTTACGGATCATCCTTTGAAGTTTTTTCATTTCCTCCTTTTATTCACTAAGATCACACGTGCATTAAGTGTTGTAGGTGACAGAGTAGTCAGGTAGAGTTGGATGTGACCAGTTAAATTTTTGGCTTTTTTTTGTTTGTTTGTTTGTCTGTTTGTTTCTTTGTTAAAAGTTTCTTAAATGTTTCCTATAGAGCTTAAAGATCTAACCCAGAATGACCCCTTATATTTCATGAGCGAAAAGTGGTTATTTTGCTCTCTTTTTCTTGGTTGTATGTATCTGGGCCATACCCAGAGGTGCTTCAGACTCACTCCTGACTCACTTCTGACTCTGTCTCACGGGTTACTCCTGGCAGCACCTGGGGACTCTTGTGTGTGCCAAAAATTGAACCCAGGTGCAAGCCGGTGCCCTGCTGGCTGTCTCATCTCTCTGGCCCCGATTTTGCTCACCTTTACTCACATATCGTATGTCCCTTGAGCTCGCCATTGTAAGTATTTGATCACTTTTTATCATCAATTGACTCCCCAGTGATGTAATGGAATGCAACCTTAAAATGACCAAAACGGGCCTGGAGAGATAATACAGCAGTTAGGGCTTTGGCCTTGCCTGTGGCTGACCCACATTCCATTCCAGCAGTGCATCTGGTCCCCAGCCCCACCAGGAGTGATTCCCTGAGCACAGCCAGATGTGACCCCCAAGCAAACAAGCAAATTACTGATGACTTACATTAGAGGAGCCCTTTATTAACCGTGATGTATAGAAACTCTTTAAGTTAGTGACGGTATACTGAAGCAGAAGTCAGGAAATTTTATCCTAATTCTTTCTACTGGTGGAATTGTTCATTGGAAGGATTTTTTTTCTTCCTGCAGCGTTTAACATACTTAAAGTTTGATACATAAAAGTCCAATATGGTGGATTTAAAAAAAAAAAAAAGAATAAGTAGGGTTTCAAGTGACAGCTGTATCTTTAGTTAAATTTTCTCTGTATGTTTGTCTGTTACAGCTCAGTCCTTTCGTTTACAGCGAGTTTGCCCGGGAGAGGAACCTGCACGTGTCATTACTTGATCGACTCTATGAGCATTACCCTGCCGAGTTCCCGTGCCGGATCCTCCTGTGCGAGAATTACCGCTCTCACGAAGCTATCATCAAGTAGGTGTGACTGTCCCCGCTGGTTCACTCTCCTCTGCCTGGGTGCCGGGGGACTCAGAGCGACAGTTCTGAGGACAAGTTCTTTTCCACACATTTTTCTGCGGTCCCTTGGGTTGCAAGTCGTTTACAGTTACTGCACACTGCTGCCACGTTGGGGCCCCAGACCGTTTCAACACTGTCCTGTCTTCTAAGACTGCCCCCCACCCCCATAATTGTGTTTAGTTTTACGTCTCCAAAAGAAAACCTCCAAAGTCAAAAGTTGTAAATTTTCACACCATAGGACCCTTCTGGAAGTGAGAGCTTTAGGATCTAATAGCTACAACATACGTTTCTGTGACTAAATGTCTGCTATAGATGTCACATGGCATGACGGAATAAACAAATACACTGATAAACCACATAACGATTTGCTTATATGTGTCTGTGTTATATAAAAAATCTTTATTTTTTTTCTTTCTTCTTTTTTCCCCCCCCCCTTTTTTGGTTTTTGGGCCACATCGGGCAATGCTCAAGGGTTTCTCCTGGCTCTGCTCTCGGGAATCACTCCTGGAGATGCTTGAGGGAACCTTATGGAATACTGAGTATCGAACCCAGGTTGGCCACATGCAAGACAAGTGGCCCACCCATCTCTCCAGCCCCAAGAAGCCTTTATTCTAAAAACAAAGGATGGACAGTAAAGAAGGGAGAGAAAGGGGAAGAAGAAAACCATGAAACTTAGTGATTAAGGTCTTAGAGATTGCTGTTACAGAGAGCATGCAACTCTCAGCGAGAGAAGCTCACATGACAACTCAGTGAGTTGTCATGAAGTTGACTCGCACGGGAAAGCCGTATCCAGGTCAGGAAACCGCATAATCGAGGCTCTGCACAGTCTCTTTTGTGCTCTTCTTTTCCAGTCTGTGCCCTCAACCAAAGCATAGTTGTTTTTTAAAAAAGTTTATTACAATATTGAGATGGAAGAAGAATCTGATTTAAAAATAAGTGGAGGAACTGAATAGACATTTTCCCAAAGAAGTACAGATGTTTGGCAGGAATGTGAATAGATGTTCAACGTCACTAATCATCAGGGGTATGGAAGCACGGCTACAGGGTGCTGGCGTGTTGCCCCTGGTACAGTGGCTACTCTCCAGTAGGCAGAAAGCACAAATATTGGCAAGGATATGGGGAGAAGGGAACGCAGGCAGGATTAGCGGGATTGTGAATTGGTGCAGTTCCTATGGAACACAGTACGGAGGCTCTTCTGACCATTAAAAATAGAGCTACCATATGATTCAGCAATGCCATTTTCTTGATATTTACCAGAAGAAAAGGAAAACTCTTAATTTGACCAGTAATCTTAATTTGAGAAGAGAAAAGCACCCCGGTGTTCATTGCAGTGTTATTTACAAGGACCAAAAGGAGGAAACAACCTGTCTCCGTTGACTGATGAATGGATGAAGAAAATGTGATGCCACACACTCTTGTCCCCTACCTCTTTCTCCCCCCAAGCTCCCCCTCCTCACACGTATGCTTGTGGCCCTTGAGAGTACTATGATGAGTGAAATCAGTTAGAGACAAATAATTTCTCAGAAGCTGAGAGGAGCCAAATTAAACTAAATTTCGAAGACCCGAGCAGGTTTTTAGAGTTCAGGAATACGATTTGGAGGGATGTTCAAAATGATACAAACCTCAGTTACAAAATAAGTCAGGGAAAACCATTATGCAGCATGGGAACTATAACCGGTAATGACATACACGAATCTAAAAGTTGCTAGTTAGAAGACATTCAACTTGTCTTGAGGGTCATTTCACTCTGTGGAAGCTTGACTCATGTATGCATGAAATGAGTTATTATGCTTCAGTAAAAGATGTAAGTCATTATTTAAAATAATATGGAGGTTAGTTAGTTGAAGGTCACATTTAGTTTCTTTGAAAGCAAAAGGACGGAAAAGTCATCTATGGCTCATATTAATATCTCAAAGGGTGATTATTTTATAGTCAATTTGCTGCAGCCAGTGATGAATCGCCTGCTCAATAATACTGATCAGTAAAGGATATTGACTTTACAGTTGAAAATTTGAATATCCGTCTGTTATGTACATTATTTCTGTGTCTACATATTTTTGTGTTTGTATGTATAAGTATGTGAGGGAAATAATAATAAACAAAAACCAAGAAATGAGCTAGCCAGCTAATTTCCTTAGCAGGGTTTCCTTGGCAGAATTTCCTGAGCAAGACTCTCATCTAGTAAGTCATCATTTTCCCCCTTTCTTTCTTTCTGTACTCCGGCTTTATACCCTACCAGAATCAATCCATTTAGCAGTGCTATGCCAGGACTCTGCATAGTGTTCCTGGTGTAGTTGATTTTGCAGAAAATTCTGGCTTCCTAGGTATTAGATGTTTGGATTATAGTGAGTCATGGTCCTAAAGCATTTTTAGAAAGGTTCATTTTTTTACCCTTAGGTGTAACTTTAATTTTGATGCATATTCACTTACATGTTTCTTCTGGTCTCTTTCTGCAGCTATACCTCTGAGCTCTTCTATGAGGGCAAATTGATGGCCAGTGGAAAGCAACCAGCACACAAGGACTTCTACCCACTAACTTTTTTTACAGCACGAGGGGAAGATGTACAAGAAAAAAATAGCACAGCTTTTTATAATAACGCAGAGGTACATGAGTTGTTTTTGTGGACTCTCAGCGTGGTCTGGTCTTGTTAACATTCACGTAACGTTTTGAGTCAGCGTACTGCTGTGCAGTTGATCTAATTTATGTGTAAATAGTATGTGAGGTTTGTCCTTTCTCACATAACATTGCATTCTTATGGTGAATCTCCTAAGGGGAAACGAAACAACTTTTCATTGTGTCTCTGATAAAAACCAAATATGTGACTTCAGTTTTGAAAAAAGCCAGCACAGGGCTGGGCTTGTGGCCTGGTGGTGGAGCACTTGCCTGGCCTGTGCGGGGCTTTGGAGTCTTTCCTGGCACCACATGGTCCCCTCAGCTTTGCTGGGGGCAGCCCCCCACCTGGCCAGATGTGGCCCTACCCCACAAGGAGGTTTTCCTAATGATGCTTGTTCTTACTCATCCAAGTTAGGCTATGATTAAATTTTAGTGTATCTGTGTGGGATTCCATTTTGCGTGAGTCAAACTTGAATTGCAGAGCCTGGCCTCCAGAGAGACCACTCAGCTCATCACGGGAGCGAGAATCTGGTTCTTTTTGAGATTTCAAGTCAGTTTAGCCGTGAGCCTCTCTCGAGCTCTCAGATTTGCATTTTGCCTAGTATTTCTCTTTTCACCCTTTATCCCATTACCATACCCGGTGATGCTCAGGGGTTACTCCTGGCTCTGCACTCTGGAATTATTCCTGGCGGTGCTCATGGGACCATAGGGATGCCAGAGATTGAACTTGAGTTGGCTGCATGCAAGGCAAACACCCAACACGCTGTACTATTGTTCTGGCCACCCACCCGCCTTTTTCTTAAATACTTAAAACAAATGTGTCTGTATGTGTGTGAGTGTGTGTGTATGTGTGTTTGTGTGTGTGTATGCCATAATTTACAATTGTGCCTGTGCTACATTTTCAGGCATACGATGTTCCAACACCAACCCTACGGCTAATGTCCCCTCCTCAGAGCCTGCCTCCTTAACAGGCATATAGTTGGTTGCTTTAAAAAAATCTTTTTTTTGAGATATCAGGATTTACAATCCTGTGAATTATACTTCTCATATACACATCATTCCAGCACCACCCTCCACCAGTACCCTGGTGTCAGTCCACTTTTCTCCCTTGAAAACATAGTTCTGTGAACAAAATATCCAGTTCCTTTGACTTCGGTCATTTGCTTCTTTACTAAGTTTCTTTATATCCCACATATGTGAGAGACTTTTATTAGAAATTTTTATTGTGAAGGTGGTGACGCTTGCGCACATGTAAATGAGGAAAACAAAGTTCCTATAATTCCACAAAATTGTAAATCAATGATAAGTGGATATATTTTCCCCCCAAATTGTCTTTTGTGTTTTTTTTTTTTCTTTTGCTTTTTGGATCACACCCAGCTTTGCTCAGGGGTTATTCCTGGCTCATGCACTCAGGAATTACTTCTGGCAGTGCTTGAGGGATCATATGGGATGCTGGGTATTGAACCTGGGTTGGCCGCATGCAAGGCAAACACCTTACCCACTATGCTATCGCTCCACCCCCCCAAATTGTCTTTTTCTTTCGTACAAGTATGTCACTGTCACTGTCCTCCCGTTGTTCATCGATTTGCTTGAGTGGGCCCAGTAACATCTCCATTTTGAGACTTGTTGTTACTGTGTTTGGCATATCGAATACGTCATGGATAGCTTGCCAGGCTTTGCCATGTGGGCGAGATACCCTCCGGTAGCTTGCCAGGCTCTCCGAGAGGGGCGGAGGAATCAAACCTGGCTCGGTCAGGCTGGCTGCGCACAAGGCAAACGCCCTACCCGCTGTGCTATCACTCCAGCCCTATAAATTTAAAATTTTAGTCATATGAAAAATTCTATGCTGATACATTAAAACATTTACGTAAATTCTACAAATATATAGTTAGTAAAAGTGAGAAGAGGAGAATTAAGAATTTAAGGTGAAATCTGAATAGGCCTACAAAAGTATAAGAATATATTTTATTCTTAATGGAAACACTGGCTTTTATGGTAGAAAATACTATATTATAGATAAGGTTTAAGAATTTTCATTAATAAGTAAAAGATTGTAATAAAAATTTCTGCAGATGTAAAAGAAAAAAACCCACCTGAATAGACATAGAACATTCAATATAAATGAAACATTAATTTGTAATTGAAAAAATATAAAATCCCTTAGCACGCTAAGAATAAACAGACCTTTCTTCCTTAATTGACAAAGTGCTTAGAAGTTTGTCTTGTCTCTGAGGGTTCTTTTATTTTTTTTGAGTGGGTCTTCATGGAGCTCCAGGCTTATTCCTGGCTCTGTGCTCTGGGATCACTTCTGGGGGAATTGGGGGCCCATATGCAGGGCCAGGTCCCCCCACCCCTGACTTGTAAGACCTTAGTCCCCTGTACTATCTCTCTGGCTCCTGGAGGCTGGATAGCACAGTGGGTAGGGTGTTTGCCTTGCACACAGCCAACCTGGTTTCAATTCCCAGCATCCTATATGGTCCCCCGAGCACCGCCAGGAGTAATTCCTGAGTGCATGAGCCAGGAGTAACCCCTGTGCATTGTTGGGTGTGACCCAGCCCCCTCCTCCCCCCCCAAAAAAAAGCTCCATTAACACTGTCACAAAATTGGTTTCAAGGCTCTGAAATGCTTAAGCTGCTCCCTGTCCACGTTGCTCAGTACTGTTCCTTCAGATCTGAGTGACAATCGACCTCCACAGTGTCTTCCTTGGTGAGCTGTTCATTGCACCGAGGGTTTTGATTCTGCAGTGAATGTCAGTCATGACAGTCTCTGCCTCTTGACTGAATTGTTTAATTTTTTCACATTTAACGTGATTATGCTCTGGTTGTGCCGGCCTCTGTGTATTACTTTTTGTTTTCTTTGTCTCATAGACTTTTGACCCCCTGTTTTTTTTTTTTCACTGTCTTTGGCAATAAGTGCATATTTTTCTAGTGTTATATTGTATTTTTATTCACCTCTCCCCAGTGTCACATTTTAATTTAATGATTTTAAATTAGTTTTGGAATTGGTTTTTCAGTGGCTTCTCTAGGGCTTATGTGTTTTATCAGAATCTACTTCAGATTTATGTGAAATTGATGCCAGTGAGAGAGAAACTTTACTCCCAGATATCTCTATCCTCACCTTCCCCTTTCCAGACTCTTAAGAGTTATGAATGTTATACCATCACTATGACTCTACTGTAAGCTTAGTATACATGTTATTGTTACTTCTGGTGTTTCAGTGTCCTTTAAAGATTATTGAGGAGAAAGGGAAGCAACTGCATAATTAAAGAGTTGTCTCTCAGCATTCTATTTACTATTTCCGATTTTCTTCACTTATTGCTGTGGATTGGAGTTACTATCTGGTATCAGTTTTTATTCACCTACTTTCTGCTTTTGTTGTCACACATGCTGATTGCCATGTAATATATATAACCTAATTGTTTCGCATGTGTTTTATACAGCTGTTCTTTAAATCAGCTCAGAAAAAAGGGAAAAGCTGAATAATCAGTTTTCTCTCTCTCTTTTTTTTTTCTTTTTGGGTCCTGGCAGTGCTCGGGGAACCATATGGGATGCCGGGGATCGAATGGGGGTTAGCCACGTACAAGGCAAACACCCTACCTGCTGTACTTGCTGGTTTTGTTCTTCTGTCAGTCCAGATCTACTGTTGATGTACTGCCGTGAACTTTTAATTTCAGTTGGTTAAAAAAAATCCCCAAAATTTATTTTGATATCAGTTATTGTGCTGGGCTTTTATTTTTAGCTCTTTCCCTTGGACATCAGTTGTTGAACAGTGTGATCCGACTAGGGTTGGGCCTCTTTGGAGTTGGAGGCGCCAGCCTGTTGGACGAACTCGGGAGCAGTGTTGGCGTGGGATGGGGAACTGGGCGCTCCTGCTGTACCCCCGTTTGAAGCCGGAGCTCTGTGCGGTTTTGTTTGTGTACTGTGTGTGTATGATTTGTGTGTAATGAGTGGTGTGTGTGTTTATGTACATGTATATGGTTTGTGTACGGAGTGTGTTTGTGTGTATGTTGAGTGTGTATTTATGGTATGTGGATGGTGTGTGTGTGTAATGTGTATTTATGGTGTGTGTATGGTGTGTAATGTGTGGTGAGAGGTGTGTTTGTGTGTGTATGGTTTGAATGGTGTTTGTGTGAGCATGTGTATGGGGTGTGTAGTGTATGTATGTGTAATGTGTATTAATGGGGTGTGTGTGTGTGTGTGTGTGTGTGTGTGTGTGTGTGTGTGTGTGAACTCTGTGCTGCCATTACGTGCTCCCACCACTATGGATCTTACACACCCCCAGAGCTGGGGGCCTTGGGAGTACTTCCAGTGGCTGATGCCCACAGTAGGTCTCAATCCTGAAAAGCTGGGGACGATGGTGCTATCCCTGGCTGCCCTGTTCATGGGATCAGTTCTTCCTGTGGTGCAGCTTTTGCAGGAAAGGGCAGTTGTGTGCTTCACCCCGTCCCCCCTGCCCGCCCCCAGTTCCAACTCCCCCTTTGTTGTGGAAGCTGGGATAGGGGGGACCGCCTTGCCGCCCCCTCCTGCTGCTGACTGCTCCATGCACCCTTCTGCAGCCCCAGGCTGTATGAGTCAGCTGCCTGGAGTGTCTCGGGAAGGAGAAGGGGCTTTCAGGTGCTCAATGGGTTCTGTGAGGGTCTAAGGTGCGGTGGTGCTGGGGGTTACCCGAATACCCTCATGGTGCTCGGGGTGCCAGGCCTACACCTTGTGGTGCTTGGTGGGTGGGGTGGGGTGCTCTCGGCCTGCACTCAGTGATGCTGGGGACCATGCTGTGTAGGGGGCCGATTGGGGTCTGCTCCATGCGTGCGCCTCAGCCCCCGGACTATCTCACTTTTCCATGGAACATCTCCCAGGGAGCTAGGAGCTGGGGGCTGTGGCACCGCCCCTTGGCTGCTGAAATCATTTTTTCCTGGAAGCTGGACCACTGGTGAGTGGGGTGGGGTGTCAGCCCTGTTTCCTGATTTCCTGCCAGCTCTTTCGTCCATCTCCAGAGCCTTTACTGTTGGCACTAATTTTGATGAGCTGAATAACCACCCATTGGGAGAGAGAACCCTCAGTCCTCTGTTCCAAGACCGTGTGTTTTGACTCGGGGATGCTGCCTGCTGTTCCGGGAGGAAGTGGAGTCATCCTTGGTGTTGCTTAGGGACACGGAGCTTAGGGATGATGGATGATGGAGTTTAGGGGTGACACCTGCAGCTCTCTCTTCCCCGGCAACCCCCTTTTTCCTTCCCCCTTAGGGATGCAAACAGATTCTGCCTTTCTTTTTCCTGTGAGAACGTGTCTCCAGGACAGTTTGATCTCAGGGTTCTTGGGTGATCTGAGTCTCGATTGTACTCGTAGTGATGTCACTCTTAACAGTAACTCTTTCTTCCCCTCCATCTTCCTCAGAATTTCTGTTTGGAAGTGGAAAATGCTTTTTAGCCCATAGTTCTCACGTGCTTGAAAGGAAAAGAAAAAATAATTATCAAATTTAACATAGTAAATTATAGTGCTTACTCACAAATAGTAACATAATTAAAAGGCATTTTTTTCTCCCTCTCTATGCCCTTACATTCTTCTTTGACTATTAAAAAAAAAAAACTGCAGTCTTTTCTAAATACACAGTAATCTCTTAGCAGGCAAAGATCATAAGATCATATTTTATTAATTGTTGAATAATTGCATCTCCCGCTGTGCCAAGGTTTGCAACTGCCTGGTTATATCTATTGAATTAAAGTTAATTGACTATACCAAAAGCCCTATTATAATCCACTAAATGGGGTCCAGAAAATTTATTTTGATAAACTGGGGTGTGTCTGTCCTGAGTGAGAGGGCTGCAGCTTGGGTGAAGAAGGTGGCGGGTGCTGACGTCTGACTCTCCAGCGTAGCTGTCCTTCCAGGTTCCGTCAGCGGCAGGGGAGAACCCCCCTTACATGCTGTGGTGTAACGGGGACATTGGCCCTCGGATCTTCTACCGAAGTTGGCTTCCTTGATCTGAGCAGAAGAGAGGAGGCTGCGATTGGGAAAGTCTTTGGATGCAGCTTCCCTGGATGGGAGTCTGCTCTCCTCCACTCTTCGGGGGGGTGGGTTGGGCTGGTGGCTGGCAGTGCTCAGGGCTTACTCCTGGCTCTGTGCTCAGGGATTGGCCACTGCAGTGCCTGGGGGATTGTAGATGGTACCAGGGATCAAACTGAACTGAGCCGTGTGCCAGGCCAAAGCCTCAAGCCTTGGACTGTCTCTCCAACCCTCTGTCTCTAAGCAGGCTCTGGACTCCGTCTCCTTTTAATAATAGAGGCTCGTGGAAGGAAGGGGGGGGCTAATGGCCAGTTATGTCTTTTTGTGGTCATGGGATCCATTATTCAAACTAAGATGGAAAAAGGAAAATTCTTTTATTCTCATTGTTCTCATACTACTGAAGCATTATTTCTATTTAGAGGTAATTTAAAAATATTTACTAAAGTAGAATCTTTTATTTATTAATTTTTGGTGGTTATTTTGTTTTGTTTTGTTTTAAATTTTTGACAAGCTGGCTATACTCAGGGTTTACACCTGGCTCTGTGCTCAGGGATCACTCTTGGCAGGCTCAGGAGCCCCTTTGGGGTGCTGGGGATTAAAACTGGGTCAACCGCATGTGAGGCAAATGCCCTCCCCACTATACTGTTGGTCTGACCCCCATAAAGTAGAATACTTTTATTTATTTATCTATCTGTTTATTTATTATTAATGAATCACCGTGAGGTACAGTTAAAGGCTTACAAACTTTCGTGCTTGTGTTTCAGTCATACAATGATCGAGTACCCATCCCTCCACCAGTGCCCATTTCCCACCACCAATGGTCCCAACATCCCTCCCACCATCCCACCCCATCCCCTCCACCCTACTCCACCTCTATGGCAGGGCATTCCCTCTTGCTCTCTCTCTCTTTTTGAGTGTTGTGGTTTGCAATAGAGGAATTAAGTAGCCATCATGTTTGGTCTGTAGTCTACTTTCAGCCCGCATCTCCCATCCCGAGCGGATCCTCCTAGCACCCTTTACTTGGTGGTCCCTTCTCTGTCTGAGCTGCCTTTTCCTCTAGCATGTGACACCGGCTTCTAAGCTGTGGATTGATCCTTCTGGTACTTATCTCTACTATTCTTGGGTGTTAGCCTCCCATTCTGTAACTCATAAAGTAGAATTCTTTATGTATCTATATATGTGTGTGTATATATATGTTTATATATACATATCTATTATCTATATCTGTATCTATATGCATATATAATACTTTGTTACTGTATTCTTTTTTCTCCAAACACATAACAGTCCTGTGTTGGTGTGTATTTGTTTAAAGGTATTTGAAGTAGTGGAGCGTGTGGAAGAGTTACGAAGGAAGTGGCCAGTAGCGTGGGGGAAGTTGGATGATGCCAGCATCGGCGTGGTGACCCCGTACGCTGACCAGGTGTTCAGGATACGGGCGGAGCTTCGGAAGAAGAGACTCTCCGATGTGAATGTAGAGCGCGTGCTGAATGTTCAAGGTAAGGGCAGCCGCAGCCCGTCCAGAGGCTCAGATCTCCCAGCAGACATGTGACTTCTCACTTTCAGAATCTCCTTTGTGGACAGGCGTTATGTTCTCATTTCAGACCGTGCTCTTTTCTTTTCTGTTTTCTTTTTTTTTTTTTTCTTTTTGGGTCACACCTGGCGATGCACAGGGGTTACTCCTGGCGATGCTCAGGGGACCATATGGGATGCTGGGAATCCAATCCAGGTCAGCCACGTGCAAGGCAAACGCCCTACCCGCTGTGCTATCTCTCCAGCCCCCAGACCATGTTCTTTCTCATGCCAGATTCGGCACTGAAAGGTCAAGCTCATTTGCATGTTCATTAAAATTTGATATCCAAAGAGAGGGCAGCGTGAGCGAATACACCCTTCTAGTATGAGGGATTGTGTGCGTGCTGCGCGCCCATGGCACCTGCTGGTGTTCTGCAGGACCTTCGGGTGAATTTGCTGGCGGAGGTTTTTCAATACTTAGCACCTGGCCTGGAAATTCTGTATTTTAAAGGAATGATTTTAGAGTAATGATTTAATCTCTAGTCTTTCCTAAGTGAAGGACTTCAAAGGAGAGGAGACTAAAAAGAACTTTTAAAAAACAAGCGGATTCTTTTAAATGATCTTCGTGTTATTTAATTGCTGTAAAATTTGTGCTTCTAAATCCATGAAGCCCCACTCTGATGGGAATACGCAGAAAGGCCCAGTGTGACCTGAGGTTTCATGATAGTTGGCAATAGTAAGAGGGATGCATGATAGTAGGCAACAGAGGAATGAAATATCTGAAGCACAAGCAAGGGTGGCTTCTCTGGACCCCTGATGGTCCAGAACATACAGAGTTTGGGTGTTGCAGTGTAGAAGGAATGTCAGTAGTACCATAGGAAGCACCTGGAGGAGTGAGGGTCATTCATGGCCTAGGAAGTGCCATATGGAATCAAGAGGCGCTGACAGCCCTGAAGAAAGGACTCAAGCTTGATATGGACCCCCCAGGGGAGCATTTGGAGACTTGTAGAGGGAGGGAGTAAGAATGACCAGAACACGCATCTCAGTGGAGGTGTGGCACAGGCAGGAGACTCCAAATAAGCGAGAGACTCCCCATGACGCTTCCTGGCGGAATCAGCTAGATTCGCCCATGCCTCCTTCATGGAGGGGGCCTGGTACATTCTTCTCCAGAGCTCTTTCCTGGAGCTCTGTACTCACCAGGTAATAGCCGCACCCGCTCTCCGCTCCCTACCTCACCTGGCAGCCGCTGTCCTGCTGTCTCTCTCTGTCCAGGAGGATTTTGCAACATGTGTCCTTTAGGGACTGAGTGACTTCACTCAGCGTCATGAGGTCAGAAATTTCCATTGGTGTTGGAGCCTGTGTCAGATTCCCTCCCTTTTATGGAAGACTAAAATATACTCTATCGTGTGTAGGCTTGTGCTGCTGTTTCTCCAGAAACCTTTCCCTGGCCAAGTTGGTTGTGCAAACATTGTAGAGTTGCCTGCACAGGCCTCTGTGACACGTGTAACCTGCTTCACACCTAGAATATTCACTATCAGCTGTTGAGGCCAGTGGGTCTGTTGTTGACTAGAGGTCATTAGGGACACATGACTATATATACCACATTTTTTTTTCATTCCCAGGGCAGGAGAAAGGGTCACATACAGCTGTGCTCAGGGCTTACCTGGCCTTGTGTTCACCTCCCCTTGGGGGGCCTGGGTATCCTTTGTGGTACCAAGGGATCAAACCCTGGGTCACCCGTGCCTGCCTTGTTGTATTAGCCCTGCAGCTCCGAATGTCACATTTCATTTGATCATCTGTTGTGGACACTTGGATTTCCTTTTACCATTGGCTTTTATTAGTATTATTATTATTATTTATTTATTATTTTGGGGGGGGGAGTCATACTCAGCGATGCGCAGGGTTTACTCCCGGTTCTGCACTCAGGAATTACTCCTGGTGGTGCTGGGGAACCCTGTGGGATGCTGAGGATCGAACCCCCGGTCATCTGCGTACAAGGCAAACGCCCTTCCTGCTGTGCTATCAATCCGGCCCCTGGCTATTCTTTTTTTTTTTTTTTAATTTTTATTAGTGAGACACCATGAGGTACAGTTGAAGACTTACAAATTTTTGTGCTAGGGTTTCAATTATACAATGATCAAATACCCATCCCTCCACCAGTGCCCATTTCCCACCACCACGGATCCCAGTATCCCTCCCCCCATCCCCCATCACCTCCATTCCACCCTGCCTCTGTGGCAGGGCATACCCTTTTGTTCTCTCTCTCCTTTGTTTGTTTGTTTTGGGTTTCCGAGTCACACCTGGCTGTGCACTGGAACTGCTCAGCTTGGTGACCAGGGGACTGTGGGGTTGCTGGGGACGGGGCCTGGGGCTCTCGAGTGCAGAGCATATGCCCCAGCCCTGTGAAAATGCCTCTGCTCGCCCATGGCCGTTCTGAAGGGTGTGCTTAGCCATCAAGCTGTGTCCCCAACCCCAGCTTCCGACAGAGTGAAGTGACCATGTTTGGGGTGGGGGGGGCGCGGGATGTGCAGGTAACTATTCTTGCATTCAGGTTTTGGGCCGCACCTGGCAGAAGTCAAGCTGTGGGATGGTTTCCTCTCTGGAGGAACTGCTGTCCTCTTTCCCACGTTTTGACATCCTCACTTGTAGGATGTTGTTGACAATTCCTCCATGTCTTCACCAAACCTGTTACTGAGCAGTAACATTTTACTTAGTTATTTTTTGTTTTTTTTAAATTGAACACAGACTTTTAAAAAATTTTAGTCTTAATTTTAAATTTTTTAAAATTGAATCACAGTGAGATACATAGTTGCAAAGTTGTTCATGATTGGATTCAGCCATATCATGTTCCAACACGCGACCCTTCACCAGCGCACATTTCCACTACCAGTGTCTCCAGTTTCCCTCCCGCCACCCTCCCCCCCACGGCAGGCACTTTCTTCCCTCCCCCCTCTCCCTCTCTCTCTCTCTCTCTCTCTCTCTCTCTCTCTCTCTCTCTCTCTCTTCCTCCCTCTCCTCCACCTCCCTTTTGGGCATTATGGTTTGCAATACAGATACTGAAAGGTTATCATGTATATCCCTTGGTATCCAGTATATCCGTAACATTTAAAAAAGAAAAAAGAAATGCTTTTCGAATCTCAGTTGGTTCAGAATGACAGTCTAAAGGATTTTTCCTTTCTCTTCTTTTTCTATAGGAAAGCAATTCAGAGTTTTGTTTCTTAGCACAGTACGTACCAGGCATACTTGTAAACATAAACAAACCCCAATTAAAAAGAAAGAGCAACTGCTGGAAGATTCCACCGAGGACCTGGATTATGGTTTCTTATCTAATTACAAGCTTCTCAATACTGCCATTACCAGAGCACAATCTTTGGTGGCCGTGGTGGGTGATCCCATTGCCTTGTGCTCCATCGGAAGATGCAGGTAATTCCGTGCTTAATTTTTTGAGAAATTAAACTTGGTAGAATAGGTTGCGTCCCGACATAAACGTGGATTGATAAGATCTTATGACTAATTAAAATAAGGTTGATTCTTAACTGATTTCCAGTGGGAATACAGAACATAGATTGCTTCGAGTCGGTTAGATACGTATTTGTGTGTTCATTGTCATCATTCAACAAGTATTTCCTGGGTTTCTGCTACAGTCTTCTAGCCTCTGAGGAGAAGAATGACAATATACAAAAATAAGAGTTCCACGTACTACTTTGCATGAATGCAGTGAAGTAGAATGTAGGGCAGGTGGGAGTGACCCACCTGCTTTGAGATTGTTCCCAGTGCGCCCTGCATGGCCTCACGAAGAGACTGACTGTAGAGGGGAGGAAATGAGCTCTGCAGGGGTGGGGTGGTGGGATGAAGGTGCTCCACCAAGAGGGAATCGTTGAGAGAGGGTCTGGACTGGTTGTGATAGAGTCAAACTTTTATTTTGGGTGGGGTCACACCCAGCAGTACTGAGGGGTCACTCCTGGCTCCGCACTCAGGAATCACTTCTGGCGGAGCTCAGGCCTGTGGGATGCCGGGGATGGAACCTGGGTCAGCTGCATACCAGGAAATGCCCTCCCTGCTGGACTATCGCTCCAGCCCCGTGACAGAGAGAGACTTCTATGTAGACACTTTTGTTCCCCTCGATTATTGTTTTTAAGCTCTAGATTTTTGATGACTTTCCACCTCTGCTCATTTTCTTTCTGAATTTGTCAGTGTGAAAAACATTCTTTGTGTCTGGTTCACCTTCGGGGATCCTAAAGTAGGGATGAAAGGGGCCAAGGATGTTGTGCAGTGGCAGGGCCCATGCCGTGCTTGTGTGAGGTCCTGGGTTCCATCCGAAAGAAAACCCATCAGGGGGGCCAGGGACGTGACCTGGTGGCACAGTGCACCTTTCCCAGATGGGTCTCCAGCATCACCAATGAAAACTGGAGTAGGGGCACGGGGGGGGGGGGGGGGCAGTTTGTTTATTTTGTTTTGTAGGGGCACGGGGGGGCAGTTTATTTGTTTATTTTGTTTTGTTTTCTTATGAAAACATTGTTACAATGTCAGCCTGCCTGGGGAGGTAGCTTAGTGGGCTGGAGCACTCGCACTGTCGGCTGGGGGCCTGGGTTTGACCCCGGGTGCTGCCTGGCTCCTGGTGCACAGAGAGCTGTGTACTGCCCGGTGTGACCCACAACCAGGACTAAACGACCCAGAAAATTCTCGTTATCTACTTATGCTTTACACCAGTCAGTAGGAATTTTGTATAGCCAGTGATAGAAGAACTGACGTTTAGAATGTCCAGAATGCTGTTGAGTCAGTGACGAAGACCACAGAAACCTCAGGGGCTGAGGGATGCCAGAAGACCAAAGAAGCCTACCTAGCCCTGGTTCAGAATCTGGCCCCTGTGTGCTCCCCCAAACCGCCGCCACCCCCCCCCCAGCCCCGCAAAAAAATAAATGACAAAAATGTTCACTGCATCACAGTTAGTGTTCACGGAACCACTGCCAGTTGAGGTCCCCAAACTGACCAGTTGAAAAGAAATTTAGAAGGGGTCATGAAAAGTAAATGCTAGATTCAGTTCACCGTTTTTTTTTTTTTTCCTTTTTGGGTCACACCCAGTGATGCTCAGGGGTTATTCCTGGCTCTCTGCACTCAGGAATTACTCCTGGTGGTGCTCAGGGGACCATATGGGATGGTGGGAATTGAACCCGGGTCGGTCGCGTGCAAGGCAAGCGCCCTACCCGCTGTGTTATCACTCCAGCCCCCCTCAGGTCACTTTTGTAAGTATCCTGTTACCTCCCAATGCGATGTCCAGAAGAGTGGAAAGAGATGTGGACAGTTTCAGATGAACCCTGTGTCATTATTTCTTTTTGGTTTGTTCCAGTCAGAGTCAGTAAAGCTGTTAGAAGTTTAAGTCTCTTTAAGCTCAAGTTTTCTGTGGCAGTAAAGATGACATTGTTTTATTGGCAGTTTTCCCATTTTAGCAGAGAAAAGGCGTTCTGTGGGCAGGGAGATTATTAGGATTCTTGAAGAATAAGCTGCTTGTTTTAAGGTTTAAGACCCCAAGATAAAGTAATATCTTTTCTCAGGGAAAACGATTAACAGACCAATAACTTTAATTTATGATTTAATTATGAAAAAAAATCCCTTTTTAAAATTTTTTAATTCTTTTGATTTTGGGGCCATCCCTGGCAGTGCTGTTCCTGGCTTTGAGCTCAGAAGGGATCCCTGGCTGTGCTCTGGGGATCTTATGTGATTCCAGGGATCGAGCCAGGACTGGCCTCGTGCAAGGCAAGTGCCTCAACCCCTGTACTATCTCTCTGACCTTTAATTTTATATATTAAAAAAAAATAGGCTGTCATTTCTTTTAGCCACCAAGAGACATAAAATTTGGCAAGAAAATACATTAATTTTGAATAAGAGATAGAGTTATTTAAGAAATTAAGCTTCCTCTCAGAGAATTTTGCCTGTTACTTTACTCTTCATTAAAAGTGTATTTGGGGGACTGGAGCGATAGCACAGCAGGTAGGGTGTTTGCCTTGCATGCGGCTGACCAGGGGACCAGGGTTCGATTCTCAGCATCCCATATGGTCTCTCAAATACTGCCAGGAGTAATTCCTGAGTACATGAGCCAGGAGTAACCCCTGTGCATCGCTGGATGTGACCCAAAAAGAAAAAAAAAAGTGTATTTGGCTAGATTGTTGTGATATTTTACCATTCTTTCTCTTTCTCTCTCTTTTTTTTTTTCGGCTTTTTGAGTCACACCTGGCAATACACAGGGGTTACTCCTAGCTCTGAACTCAGGAATTATTCCTGGTGGTGCTCAGGGGACCATGTGGGATGCTGGGAATTGAACCCAGGTTGGCCGCGTTTAAGGCAAATGTCTTACCCACTATACTATCGCTCCAGCCCCGATATTTTACCTACCATTCTTGTTTACATTTATCGTTTGATAAATGAGAACACATGAAGTTTGATTAGAATTTGATAGACCAAAGCATCTATAGATAGGGTGACCTGTTGGAAACAGTTAGAAACTATTGGAAGAACAGATAATCCTCAGCTTTGAGATCGCCTTGTAATTAATCCTAAACACCAGATAACTCAAAACATTTACCAAATTCTATATTTTAAAAACCTTTACCCTTTTGATAGAATCAAATTTATACTGAGAATTTTCTGAAATAAGCTTTTTCTTTTTCTTTTTTTCTCCTTTTCTGACATAAAGCATTAGTTTCGTAGGGCGACTAGGTAAATTAGGAATGATCCAGGGCTCAGTTTTAACTTGAAGTCAGATCTGCTCCACTGGGGTGTGCCAAGGGCACAGTCTTTGGCATTTATGATCTACATGAAGCATTTTTAGGGTGACAAATCCCTGTATACAGAGAAAACGTAATGGGATCCCGCAGCTAAATGGGAATACAGATTGTCAGACCCTTGGGCTGCTCCACCATGATTGCTAACCCAAGAGCTTAGGCCAGCACAGGTGGATATTTGAGCTTTAATTCTTCTCGTCTTACTAGGGGTTCATTGCATCTCAAAGCACAAGTATTCCAGGAAATGTGATAGGATTCCATAATGATAATTGAAGAATGACTTCTTTATTGTTTTCTTTGGTACCTTTTCTACCCCAGTTTGTTTCCAATGATCAACTAAGTGTCCAATAAATTTTAATCAGCTGTATAATTTAAACAGGTATAGGTATCAATCTATTATCATCTATTATAAAGGGGTTTTTTTTTTGTACTGTGAATGAACATTTATTTTTTTTTAGAACTCAGTATTTTTTAATTGATTTTTATTAAAAACACCGTGATTTACAGTGTTGTCATTATGCAGTTGTTTCAAGCATTTAGTGTTCCAACACGACCAATGTGATCTGACCTTCCTTCCACCAATATCCCCACCTTCCTCCCAATCCCAACCTGCCCCCTCTGGCACATAACATATTTACTTTATATTGCTTATTCCACCAAAAATGTTAAGAACTGACAGACAGAATGATCAGAAAATAAATCAGTAAGGACCACTTAGTGATTCCTATATGATTTTTCCCTGTGTAAATAGGAAAATTAAAACCATTTAATACAATGTAAAAAATACCTATTCTTGTCTACTACACATGTACATTTTCAACACTGGAATCTAAAGTATATTACATTAAATTTTGTCTTATAGTTGGATCTCAATATGGTAATAATCACTCCTCACCTGTCATTAATAACACTATTTTTTTTCTTTTGGGGTCACATCCAGCAATGCACAGGGCTTACTTCTGGCTCATGCACTCAAGAATTACCCCTGGTGGTACTCAGGGGACCATATGGGATGCTGGGAATTGAACCTGGGTTGGCTGTGTGCAGAGCAAACACCCTACCTGCTGTGCTATCACTCCAGCCCCATTAATAACACTTTTAAAGACAATTCTGTGTTAATATATTTTGTAATTTACATGAAATAGTTAAGGCCTACATATATAAAATTTCCCCTTACACTTTCATAAAGTATTTTTAAACAGGTTTTATATGGTCCCCACAAAAATGTCATGAATTTCCCCCTCCTTTGCCATGTGTCAAATCTGCCACTAGAAGTCACTGCTGTTGGTTGACTGGTACTAGAGTACTCGCTCTGCACCACCCCTCCCCTGGCCATCTTGATCTTATGGGCATCTTATTTGGGGTTTTGGGGGCAGTGCCCAAGAATTACTCCTGGCTCTGTGCTCAGGGATCACTCCTGGTGGGTCTTGGGGGACCATCTGGGGTGCCTGGGCTCAAACCCATGCCAGGCACATGCAAAGCAAGCATCTTGACCCATACCCACTGTACTAGCTCTCTGGCTCCTTTTTGGCATTTTTGTTTGTTTGTTTGTTTGTTTTGGGTTTTGTTTGTTCCGTTTTTCGGGTCTACACCTGGTGTTGCTCAGGGCTTACTCCTGGTGCTGTACTCAGGGATCACTCCTGATGGTGTCAATTGGGCGCATTCTAGGTCAATGCCCTGCCCACTGTACTACCTCTCCAGCACTCTTCCCCCCCCCCCCCCCCATTGGAGTTTTAATTGGCTAGCATGATTCAGGGAGTGTAGACGGCTGCCCACTTTCACATAGCTATTTAACAGGATGCTAGAGCAGAGAGTAGGTTCACTTCAGAACTTGAGTCCTTCCTCTGAATTGCCGGCGCTTGCCCAGACTGTGATGGGAATGCTCCGAATGGGGAGCATTAAGGGGTGGGGAGGGCACCCTTTTCTCCAAGTGGATGGGTTTGGGATAGTCTTTTCTCTTCATTTTTATTGTGGTGACATTTGTTCACAAGACAAGCAGGTCTTTTAAGCAACATATCTTTATTGGCAAATTTTACTTAATGAAATATAGCCCTGTTTTTCCTGTCTGCGTCAAAATTGGCATGCCTTTGTGTGCATTGTCTCTCTCTGAGAAACTGCCGTGGGCCACCTGCGTTCTTGAAGCAAAGGTGAGGGGCTAAGGCCTGACCCCTGAACCCAAATCCCCAGCCCCCCACCGTCTCCTGAACACTGTCAGGGAAGGGTCTCACAGCACCCTCCTTTGCAGTGTGGGCTGGAATCTCTAGGAGGCATCTCCAGGCCTGAGGCACACCATGGGGGCAGCACAAAACAGACCAGAACCAAAACTGAAACTTCGCGTTCAGGCAATGAAGAGAGAGTACTCAGGCGTTTGCCTTACATGCAGCCTGCCCGGGTTCCATCCCTGGCACCCCTGAGCCTGCCATAAGTGATCCCTGAGCACAGAGCCAGCAGTTAGCCCCAAACCCTGCCAGGTGTGGCCCCAAAATAAACAAGCAAGCCCCAAACCTTTGTGTCCATACAGCCATTCTAAGTATTGCCGTGGCCTTTGAAATCTTCCCGTTCCCAGGTAAAGACTTGCCCCAGGAACTGCCATCACGAAAAAGCTGTGAATGTCTCTAACAGGGTCGCATTTTAGGTAGGGGCTGAGGGTTGAACCCTTTAAATAACCATCATGCTGAATTCCTTTTTGAATAATTTTATTTTAGGCATTGGGGGTAAGAGAGCTTATTGGTAAGGTTCCTGTATAAAACACTCGCCCACCACCTCCTTCCCCAGGGTGCCCACTCCCTCTGCCTTTGTCCATGTGTCCTTCATCCCCGCTCCCTGGTAAGCTGCCTGCTGGGGACCAGGGCCTCTTTTCTCCTGCCTTGGGGGATTCCCTCACCTAGTGCCTTAATATCGCTGGTATGAGAGAGGTCAGACTGTGTGTGCCTCTCCCTCTGACTGACTCCACTCAGCCTGCTAAATTCCTGCCTGTCTGGAACCTGGCCTTCCCAGTCTATGCTCAGAAATGAAATTACATGAAGAGTGTACTTCCATAGAGTTTTGTTGAATTCAGGGTCCATAAGAATTGTCTTTGAAAGAGTTTTCTTTTTCTTTTTTTTCTTTAAACAATTTATAGGTGAGGTTTTTTTTTTTTTTTTTTTTTTTTTTTTTACTTTTTGGGTCACACCCTGCCATGCTCAGGGGTTACTCCTGTCTCTGCACTCAGGAATCACTTTTGGCGGTGCTCTGGGGACCATATGGGATGCTGGGAATTGAACCCGGGTCGCCCGCGTGCAAGGCAAATGCCCTACCCGCTGTGCTATTGCTCCAGCCCCCTGAAAGAGTTTTCATAAAGAGCAAAAAAAAAAAAAAAAAAAAAAGGAAACTCTTTAGCTCTAAAACTTAAATAAAATTTTTAAAGAAAAAAATAGATGTTCTCTGAACATTTCAAAGTGAAAATTCTTTTCAAGAGTTAAATATGGTAAAAATGAGTGGTAGTACTGATGCTGCCCTATTTTCCATCTGAGGAAACTGAGGAACACGAAGATTTGAATTTGCCACAAGGGTCCCTCACAGCAGCTGAGTGTCTGAGGCGTGGCGGAAGCCTGCTGGATCTAGGTTCTAGAACCCATGAGCCTAACCCATGCTGTGGGACTTATCAATAGGGCTACCAGAGAGAAGGCAGACTTAAAGATTTCTGGTTACGGTGGGCCTGCTTGATTCAGTTAATTGACTGCAAATGTTCAATGTTACTTTTGGAAAAGATCCTTGCGTTTGAAGGCTTTTGCTTTGAGGGTCTGAGTAGCCAGGTTCCTACCCTCTCATCCAGTGTGAGGCCACCTGGAGATCATGCTTCCAGAGCTCCGTGGGACCTCAGCTCCTGCCCAGTGCAGCTGAGGTCCCAGAGGACAGAATAAGAACAGGATGTGTTTTTTTTTTTTTTTTTTTAACTCCTGGCCCTGAGCTCAGGGATCACTCCTGGCAGGGCTTAGGGGACCAAATGCAGTGCCAGGGATCAAACCCAGGCCGGCCCTACCAAGCAATAAGCAAACGCCCTTCCCGTTATACTATCTTTCCAACCCTGGCCGTGGAATTTCAAAAGGCAGCTTAAAAATAGAGCAAATTCTAACATTTTGGCTGTGTAAGCTGGAAATGAAAATCCGAGGAGTTGATAGGAAAAGCCGTGTGAATGTAGAAGCCACACCATTCTCTTTGTGTTTTTTTATACATCTGATACTTTATCAGTTTTTTTTCTTTCACCCTTTAGCGTGCAGAATATAGTGGGATTGTATTGATAAAAATTCATCAACTTTGGAGCTGGAGAGATAGTGCAGAGGTTAAGTGCTTGCCTTGCATGCAGCTGACCTGGGTTCTATCCCTGGCACCACCAATGGTGGATTCCTTGAGCACCACTAGGAGAGATCCCTGAGCACTGTTAGGTATCGTCCAAAACCAAACAACAAAATCATGAAACCTATACATTTGAATATTATATTTTAATCAAAGGGGTAGGAAACTTTTATGGATTTTAGATTGTATTATGTTACCTTTCCTTAGATAACAGATTCTGAGAAAAAAATATTGAGTTACAATTTTGTAGAAAAAAGAAGAGGCGTCTGTATTTTGTAAACAGAAACCCTAGGTTTGATCCTGGGCAACAAACACCCTGTCTCCTGGAGCACTGTGATAGAAGTAGCCCCCTGAGTACTACAGAGTGTGGCCCCCAAACCAGAAACAAAATTGCCATTCTAGATGAGTGTGGATAATGGAGCATTGGTTAAGTTACACACATTGATCTGCCAACATTAGCTGAGCACATATGTTCCGTAATACTACACACACACACACACACACACACACACACACACACACACACGTGGCTAAACTTCTGAAATCTTATGACATGGAAGAAAGATGACCCCTCAGTCATCTATTGATGTCACCGAAGGATTTAGTGTCGGGAGAGGCTCTTCAGTTGCTTATGTTCATTTCTGTGATCTCATCCACTGAAATTCTAAACTGACCTTGTAAATCTTTCCTATAGGAAATTTTGGGAGCGGTTTATTGCCCTGTGTCATGAGAATAATAGCCTGCACGGAATCACTTTTGAACAGATCAAAGCTCAGCTAGAGGCTTTAGAACTAAAGAAGACGTATGTGTTGAACCCACTGGCACCTGAATTTATCCCCCGGGCCCTCAGACTGCAGCATTCAGGAAATGCCAACCGACTGCAGCAGTCCCCCCCCAAGGTAAAGCCCGTTCCCGACCCGAGGAGGGGAGCGGCAGACAGCAGAGCCCACCTGGGCACGGGTGAGGGGGCCACATTTCGCCGTCCGCCGTGCTGGAGTTGAAGGTTCCCCTCGGCGGCAAGCAGTTTCCACAAGGAGCCGGTCCAGGGTGGGCGTGTGAGTGCAAGTCGAGCCTGGCCGTTTGGCCGCGGGAAGGCCCAGGTCATCTGCAAAGGTCTCTGATCACCTCACCTGGTCTGTGGTTAGCAAAGAGCCCCTCGGTTCTTCTCACTGATGGACTTATTTTGGCAAGATACGAGTGAAACAAGCTGTGTAAAAGACAGCTAGGGGGACCGGAGTGAACGTAAAGCGGGGAGGGTGTTTGCCCAGCACACACATGGCTGACCCAGATTGGGTCCCTGGCATCCTATACGGTCCCCTGAGCACCACCAGGAGTAATTGATGAGTGCAGAGTCAGGAGGAAACCCTGAGCATCGCCAGGTGTGGCCCCCACCTCCTTCCCTCCACCCCAGCCTACATACACACAAGGTGCCTTTAATGGGTTGTTGTATAAGTAATAGTCCCATCAAGGAAGCAGAGATAGTGAGCCTGGACCATTTCTACTTTGGAACCATAGTTATTTGGGGTGGAAACCGCTTTTCTATTTGCTAGAGTGCCTGGAAAGAATACGTCCATTTACTGTTTAGAAAAGACGGCCCATTTACTGTCTAGAGAATGGCATGTTGAGTATTTCTGCTACTTTCTTTCTTTCATGCATTTATACTCATCCGCCTAATATTCCGAGTATTTGCATGAATTAAGAGAGTCTGTCAATTCCGGGCGTCATTTTTTTTTCTTTTTTCTTTTGGGGTTACACCTAGCGATGCACAGGGGTTACTCCTGACTCATGCACTCAGGAATTACCCCTGGCAGTGCTCGGGTGACCATATGGGATCCTGGGAATCAAACCCAGGTTGGCCATGTGCAAAGCAAATGCCCTACCCACTGTGCTATTGCTCTAGCCCCCTGGGCGTCATTTTAGGTCAGGATAATTTTTTTTTCTTTTTTTGAAGGGCTTTCCATGGAAGGTCAGGGTAGTCCTGCTGAGTCACATCCCTGATCCCAAGCCTTATTTTACATATGTCAAGACTGGAGGCTGGGAAGGGTGCTCGCGGTAGAGCGCGTGCTTCCTGCATTTGAGCTGTAGGCTAAGTCTCTGCTATGACACACAGGAGCAGAATGGAGAACCTGATGTGTGGGCAAGAATTAATGTTTTGCTAAAAGGTATTAAACCGAGAAGTACTTTCCGTGTTAATACACTGTTGCATCTCCTTAGTTTCATAAAAATGAGCTTAAGGTGCAATAATCTTTTTGTGTTTGGGGATTACTAGGAAATTAAAGATACTGCAAAGCGAATCTTCTAGAATTCTACAGTGTAAACTTAATAAATTAATATATGAACTTATGTACTAAATATTTACATATTCTGATGTCCCAGGTGTTATAGTCTGTGCTAGAGAGACACAGATGAGCAAATTGTTTCTGGGTTTTCTTTTTCTTTTTCCTTTCTTACATTTTTTTGGTTTGGGGGCCACATCCAGTGGTGCTGAGGGCTTACTCCTGGCTCTGCACTTAGGGATCACTCCTGGCAGGCCCCAGGGGTATCAGGGATCAAACCCAGGACAGACACGTGCAAGGTGAGTGCCTCATCTGCTGTACTCTCTCACTGACCCTGATTACTGAGTTTTCGTTCGTTTGTTTTCTTATGTGGAATTGAGACCAGGGCCTGACACGCAAGGCAGGTAGGTGCTGTTCCATGGAGGTGCTCCCAGGGTTTCCTGTGGCAGGTGTTGGAGAGCTGGTGGGAACAGTTAGGTTCAGGATGTTTTCCTGCTGGGGTGCCCAGTGAACAAAGGAGTTCTTGGGGGGGGGGTTCGGGGCGGTAAAATGGGGCCTGGGGGAGACATATGAAAGCTAGAATAGATGCTACCAGGGGCAGGAGTCCCGCCCGTGTTGTTTACTGTTCTAGCCTCTGTGACTCGAGCTCTGTCTGGCCGACTGCAGGCACTCCCATGTCTGGGGGGGTGAATGAGAGTTCAGAGAGTGCATGCTTGCATCCTGTATGGCCCGTGTGATGTAGCCAGAGCGGGGAGCCCAGGGAACGAGGCTTATTCTTGTTCTTCCTTATGATGCTACGGTGTTTGTCATACAGCTTTGTCCATCGGTCCTTTGCTTATTCATCCCTCCCTGTTCCTGTCCCTCTGGAGTTGTTGCAGTGACTGTTGGTGGGGGGGAGGGGGGGGCACGGCTGCCCTCACGCCTGTCTGTGGTGCCCAGACGCTGGTGGTGGGGCTTGCACTCTTGGTTGTAGTGCTCCTGCACATCTACAGTAGTGCTTGTGGGGGTGGGGTGGGTCTCCATGGGGCCAGGGTCAACATTCCGGGCGGTGTGGTTTGCACACTCTCCTTCAGGTGGGTGCCCACTGTGGCTGGCACACTTTTTTTTTTTTTTTTGCTTTTTGGGTCACACCCTGCCATGCTCAGGGGTTACTCCTAGCTCTGCACTCAGGAATCACTCCTAGCAGTGCTCGGGAGACCATATGGGATGCTGGGAATTGAACCCGGGTCGGCCGCATGCAAGGCAAACGCCCTACCCGCTGTGCTATCACTCCAGCCCCTGCTGGTACACTTTTGTTTTGTTGCTCCCGTGTACCTGACTCTGTGCTGGAGACTGCACAGTTGGGCACCAGGGCTCCCAGGCAGTGCTCAGAGGCCTGGGGTGGCCTTGGGCTGGACTCGCAGGAACATTTAGCCTTGGGGCCCCCTTTGGTGTCCTCTTACTGTCTACTCATTTTTGGGTTTTTTTATTTTGTGTGTGCTTTTTGGGTCTCACCCAGCGCAGGAGTTACTCCTGGCTCTGCACTTAGGAATTACTCCTGGTGGTGCTCAGGGGACCACATGGGATGCTGGGAATCAAACCCGGGTCAGCTGTGTGCAAGGCAAACGCCCTACCCGCCATGCTATCACTTCAGCCCGTCTACTCATTTTTGGAGGTGGGAGGCTTTGCCTTACAGTACTCAGGGCTTACTTCTGGCTCAGTGCTCAGGTGTCACTCCTGAAGGTGCTCAGGGTTCACTCATGTTCATTGGAGGGGATGGAACTGGGCTTGGCCACATGCAAGGTAAGTACATACCGTGCTGTCTCTCAGGTCCCGCCTATGTTCTTGGTTTTAGTTTTTATTTTATTTTATTTTATTTTGCTTTTTGGGTCACACCCAGCGATGCACAGGGGTTACTCCTGGCTCTGCACTCAGGAATTACTCCTGGCGGTGCTTGGGGGACCATATGGGATGCTGGGAATCGAACCTGGGTCAGCCGCATGCAAGGCAAACACCCTACCCGCTGTGCTATCACTCCAGTCCCCAGCCCGCCTATGTTCTTACCATGTGTTTTTTTTTTTTTTAAAGAACCTGAAAAGTTTAAGGGTTTTCTTTGATTTGGGAGCACACTTTGTGTTGTGGAGGCTTTTCTTACTCAGTATTGGGGTCATTCCTGGTGGTGCTCAGTATTGGGGTCATTCCTGGGGATCGTGCGGGGCTGGAGATTGGGCCTGTGTTCTAGCCCTTGGCACCCTCTCCCTTGCCCAGTCTTGTCACATGAACATTCTCTTCTGGATCATGGGCCAGCCAGAATGTTATGGTCGTTGTGGTTAAGAGCAGGATGTATTGGCGCTAGAGGGACAATACAGCAGGAAGGGCGTCAACCTTGCACGTGACCAACTCAGGTTTGTACCCCCACAACCCATATGGTGTCTGAGCCCCGCCAGGAGTGAATTCCTGCAGGCAGAGCTGGGAGGAAGCCCTGAGTACTGCTGAGGGTGCACTGCCCAAACAAACAGGCAAGCAAACAAAAGGAAGCAGGTTTGCTCGTGAGTAGGGGGCGCGGTGGGCACTCCCAGGCTCTCACCTGTCAGAGACCCATGATTCGGGAGGTATCCCACCCCACGGCCATGTGGGATGAGCCTGTTGCAGACTCTCTGTCTTCAAACTCATCAGTATTGAACTTGACCAAACTTCGCCTCTCCAGGCTGGAGCTTCCAGTGCCCAGGGACCCCGAACTCCACCCGGTGCCCAGCCTCCGGCTCGCCCTCCTGCTTCTGTGGTTTGCTGCCCATGAACAGGACCACTTGGCCCATGTGAACCCTGGTGGCTGTGCCCCGGGGCTTTCAGAGAGCCCTCCTGTCCCCACCCCTTCCATGTTGGGAGCCTGAAATTGTGCCCACATGAGGACAGATAGGAATGTCCCCTGCAAGGTTTTGTCTTCAAGATCCAAGATCTCTGAGAATAGTCCATGCAAGTCAGCGGCCACTGTACTGCCCAGGGGCTGCCTGCCAACTCCGCTGCTGCAGTCCGGCTCCCAGGGCAGAATTTTTTTCTTTTTTATTTTGTTCTCCTCCTCCTCCTCCTCCTCCTCCTCATCCTCCTCCTCCTCCTCTTCCTCCTCCTCCTCCTTCCTCCTCTTTTTCTTCCTCTTCCTCCACCCTCCTCTTCTTCCTTCTCTTCCTCCACCTTCCTCTTTTTCCTCCTCTTTCTCTTCCTTCTTTTCCTCCATCCTCCTCTTCTTCCTTTCCTCCTCCTCTCTTCCTCCTCCTCCTCTCCTCCTCCTCCTCTTCTTCTCCTCCTCCTTCTCTTCCTTCTCCTCCTCCTCCTTCTTCACCTCCTCCTACTCCTTCTCCTCCCTCCATTTTGTTTTTTACCTATTAAGGGTTAGGACCTGGCAGCCCTTTTGCTCACCTGTCAACTGATGTTTCACACTGATCTGAATATTCACTGTTGCTATTAGAAAGGGAGATGGTGGAACACAGTATTTGACTTTGGTCAGTGATAAATGTTTCTTCCTTATATAGACTTGCCACACCCTTAGTTTTCAGATAAATTATACAAATAGCACACACACAATTTTTCAGATAAATTATACAATGTGTGTGTGTGTGTGCGTGTGTGTGTGTATAAGGGGAAGTTGTAGAATGTGTTGTGTCATTGTTTAATGGCTCTGTGTTAGGTATAGCTCCTAAAAAGAGGGAAAGAAATGTTTTGGTTTTGGGTCTGGCCTGGCCCTCTACTCAGGCGTCATTTTTGGAGCTGCTGGGGGTTGCCAGGTAGCGATCTGGCCCATAGTCACGTGGTCAGGCACGTGCTCTGCCCTGTGAGCTGTTTCCCCAGTCCAGGAGCAGGAATTTGAGGTGCAGAGATGCAGAAACTAGAGTCTAGCATCCCTTTTCATGCCATCATGTTAATCTGCCATTGCTTACTTAATAAAATTTTATCACATATATATGCAATTCCGTGATGAATACCTTTCCCCAGATCTCTTGTTTCATTTGGATAAATTCCTGGGAGTACAGTTACGGGGTTACGAGAGCTGTATTTTGTGTGCTTTTGATATGCGTTGCCAAATTGATATGTGTAAAAAAAAAAAGTATAGTCTCATAAAGAAATAATGACAGTGCCTCTTTTCTATTTCTTTCTTTCTTTTTTAATTTTGGGGCTGTACCCAGCGGTTTTCTGGGCTTACTTGGGAGACGATATAGGGTGCCAGGGACTGAACCTGGGTTGGCCTCTTGCAAGGCAACTCTCTGTGCCATCTCTCCAATTCCATCTTTTCCTCTTCCTTCAGCAAATTCTCCACTTTATTACTTTTGTTGTTGTCTTGGGGCTGTACCCACCAGGGTTCAAGGGCTATTCATGGCTCTGTGTTCAGGAATGACCTTGGTGATGCTCAGGAGACCATAGGCAATGGGCATAGGCTAAAGATTCGAACAGGAGCAGTGAGAGGGGACAAGACAGTAATTCCCTGAACTACCTCTCTAGCCTCCAATTTTACACTTTAATCATTTTAAATATGAATCATATTTAAATATCCTAAATCCCATTCCTATTTACATTTGTGTTAACTTGAATTCTTATACTCAGGAATTGAAGACTTAATTCTTTTTCCTTGAAAAATAACTTTCCACTGGGTGTGATCTCCCCCTCCCCGATAAATAAACGAAGAAAAACAACTTTGACGTTAGTCATTAAATTCATTTAAAAATTCATCCAATAACTATAACGGAATAGAAGTTGGGTGTCAGTCTTGTTGAGTGTTTATTTATCTTTATTAAAAAAGATCAATGAAAAACAGGTTTTTAGATTAGTGCCAGTGCAATAGTAAAGCAGAGAGGGCATTTGCCTTGCACATGGCCAACGCAGGTTCAATCCCCGGCATCTCATTTGGTTCCCCCGAACACCACCATGAGTGATTCTTGAGAGCTTCTGAGCATTGCTGGGTGTGGACCCCAAACCAAACCCCTGCCTCCAAAATTAATTACTTAAAAGGGTTTAGATAGCCTTTGCTGGGAACAAAGAACATGACCAGCCGTGACCTAATGTTCCAAAAGGAAGTTTGCCCAAAACAAACTTTTATTATTCATTGGTTATCATACATTCACAGTCTTTACATTTTATTATTTTTTTTTCATTTTTTATAATTTTATTTATTAAATCACCGTGAGAGCAGTTACAAAGCTTTCGGGTTTAAGTCTTGGTCATACAATGTAACACCCATACCTTCACCAGTGCCCATTCTTCACCACCAAAACCCCAGTGTACCCCCATCCCACATCCTCCCCCTACCTGTGGGGCAGGTGATTTCCACATTACTCTCTACTTTGATTACATTCAATATTTTGACACCAGGCCCACCATATTATTTGGGATTTTACTTCAACACTCAGATCTGCTGAAAAGGCAACAGTTGACAATTTGTTTTCTAATGCTGGTTATGAATAACATATGATGTCACGTGGCTGCAGTAATGGCCGTGCGATTTTGAAATTCTGAAATTTTAACACTAAAATCTGGAGGGATTCCTGCCAAAACCTGCTGGGTTCCGAGATTGTTCCTGAGTCTCTTGGATCAGGGCGTTAAGCAGCTTGATCAGGAGCCAGAAAGGCTGTTAGTGGGTGGTGAATCTGGGTCTCGTTGGGGCGGGGGAGGAAAGGGCTGGCTCCACCCCCATCCCATGAGGCCCTTCGTGTCTCACCACTGAGGGCTCAAACCTGACTGTCCAATGGCCTCTGGAGGATGATGGCCACTGAGCTGCCTAGGGGGAGCAGGTGGAGGGACAGCACCTTTTCCCCCTGGAATGTCCCGGCACCTACTGCGGGGTCTGGACACATCTCTGCCAAAAGCCACTGGGTTCCGAGATTTGTTTCTGAGTCTCTGGTATCATGGCTGTTAAGCAGCTTGATCAGGAGCCAGAGAGGCCGTTTGTGGGCAGCGACTCGGGGTCTCATTAGGATGGGAGGAAATGGCTGGCTCAACCCCAATCCTATGAAGCCCTGCGTGTCTCCTCACTGTGGGCCCAAACCTGACTGTCAAATGACCTCTAGAGGATGGTGGCCACTGAGCCACCAAGGGGGAGCAGGTGGAGGGACAGCACTCTTTCTCCCCTGGGGTGGCCTGGTGACAGTAACCTACTGTGCGGTCTGGATGCATTTCTGCCAAAAGCCGCTGGGTTTCAAGATTTGTTTCTGAGTCTCTGGGATCATGGCCATTAAGCAGCTTGATCAGGAGCCAGAGAGGCCGTTTGTGGGCGGCGACTTAGGTCCTCTTGGGATGGGGAGGAAAGGGCCGGTTCCACGCCCATCCCATGAGGCCCCCTGTGTCTCGTCACTGTAGGCCCAAACCAGACTGTCCAGTGGCCTCTGGAGGATGGCAGCCACTGGGCCGCCAGGGGGAACAGGCCAAGGCACAAAACCTATTCCCACCTGGGATGGTCCAGCACCTGTAACTTACTGCAGGGACTGGACGCATTTCTGCCAAAAGCCGCTGGGTTTCAAGACTTGTTTCTGAGTCTCCGGGATTATGGCCATTAAGTAGTTCGATCAGGAACCAGAGAGGCCATGCCTCCAATTATATAGCTGAGCCAAAGGTGGTTTGTGGGTGTGTCTCTCACATACCTAACTTGGCCGTTTACTTTCTTGGTAAACTTTGCCCCAAGTTTTTGGGGTCTGGCCAAAGGCACAGCGGCAATTTTGGGGTATCTGGAAGTCTGAAGGCGTCATCAGGCTGCTGATGCACTCGCCTCACAGGTACAGACTGACCTGCTGGCGGCACCATACCCCCCAGTCTTTACATTTTAACTATTTGCTGTGTACGTGCAATATATTTAGGATGAGGAGAATGATTATTTTCTAAAATTGCACATACCCAACTCACTATATATTTCTTTCCTTTTCTTTTATTTTCTGTAAAGGGCAAAAGCCTTCATACTCCAAATGACCATTTCCAGAGTGATGGGATTGGTAAGTACATAAGTTAGTCCTTTGAAATCTTGCGAATCGTAAAGGAAAATGGGGAGAGAGACACACACAGACGCATTTTGGCTCCTCCCTCGACTCTCACACTGTTGGTCTTGTATGCTTTGTGTCATTTCTGGAAAAGGCTGATGTTTGTAGATACAAAGTACATGTTTAGGCCTTTTAAGGCCATTTAAGCCTTCACTGCTATGTTGTTTCCGGAAAGTAGACCCAACAAATGCTGGGTTGTACAGATTTCAGGATAAACTGTACATGGTTTAAAACATGGCAGATTGATGCTTTTAGAATAACAGTTGTTTGACCTTCATTTTGTATTTGACTGTGATAGAACAGCAAGTCAAAGCTTTATTCTAAAGAATTGATGATATATTTTCTCATTCTTAGAAGAATGTTACTCAGAGTATGTATGTTTCTATGTCTTCTATCCCCCCCCCCCCCCCCACTTCCCAAGGACAAAAGCTATCCCCAAAGCCTTGGAGGATCTGTAAAATTTTGCTATTTTATAAAAGGAATACTTTCATAACTCAAGCCGACTTCAGGGAACATTGTGAAATGTTGCCAGAAATGATGTTTTTTTCATGGGCTTTACTCTTACAGATGAATATTTTTTTGCTGTATTCCTGGGGAATGCAGTTTGTTGACTGCTGCGAATTATTTTTATCAAGGTGAATGTGAATCGCTGTTGTGTACACCCTCTTTCTCTTTGCTTTTCAGTTCAGCCCAACCCTTCCGTGCTTATCGGCAACCCTATCCGAGCCTACACTCCTCCACCTCCTCTCGGACCTCACCCAAATCTGGGGAAATCTCCAAGCCCCGTGCAAAGAATAGACCCCCACACTGGGACAAGTATTCTCTACGTACCTGCTGTCTATGGAGGGAATGTAGTTATGTCGGTGCCTTTACCTGTAAGTTCTGCTTTGAGAGACTTTCTACTGAATTCAGTGAGTCTCACTGTACTCGTGCTCTGCCAACCTTTTGGTTGATTGGTTTGTTTGCCTCCTTGGAGGCCATGCCCAGCAGTGCTCTGGGCTTACTCCTGTCTCTGTGCTCAAGGATCAAGGATCACCCTTGGTAGGCTTGGGGTCTGGGGTACCAGGGGTTGAACCTGGGTCAGCCGTGTGCACAGCAAATGCTCCACCCCCTGTGTTATGTTTCCAGCCCCCAATCTTTTTTTAGTTTCCTTTAAAATCTTGGTTTCTGTAAACTATATTTCTAACCCCTGTCAATTTTTTTAAGGCTTTTTTGCTTTAACTGTCACATTTTGGGGTGCAGTGTTGGGCCACACTTGGCAGTAGAATTCCGGGACTGTTCCTGGAATAACAGGTTATTCCTGGCAGTGCTCAGAGGGCCGGGTGTTGTGTTGGTAATGGAACCGGGGAACTGACCCCAGGGATTCAGAGACAGCTGGAGTCTTTCTGTGGTCCTCATCTTCAGATTTCTGTTTTTTTTTTTCTTTTGTTCCGTTTTGTTTGGGGGCCACGCCGGGTGGTGCTCAGAGCTTACTCCTTGTTCTGCGCCCAGGGGTCCCTCCTGGTGAAACTCAGGGGACTGACCATATGTGGTGTTAAGGATAGAGCTCAGGTTATCCACATGTGAAGCCATCACCTCACTGGACATACCATTCCTTTGGAACCCCTAATTGTCCAATTTTTAAACATTCAAAGAGATATGATGTTTTGATTTCAGTTATCAGTTACTATGAAGACATTGTAAAGCGGCTATTTTGATAAAAAAGCTTTGATACCATATTGAAATATTTTTACTGGAAGAAAAATGGGCTAAAAGTTAACAGCTCCTTATTTGGTTTCTTGTTTTGTAAAATGGTGTTTTTAGTTTGTGTTTTTATCCTAAGATGTACTCTCCTTTATAGGAGGTGAAAATGCTTAGATTAGTCTTAATTTTTTGGATGTAAATTTATTTGAGCAGTTCTATGCATTATGAAACTTTATGGCACTTAAAATGCTTATGAACTACTTTTGAAGACTCTTTAGATTGTAATTTTTAAACTGAATCACCGATAATTACAAAGTTGTGGTGTAATTCATGATTAAGTTTCCAGAGTACAATGTTCCAACACCAATGCTTCACCAGTATCCCCTTCCCTCCACCAGTGTCACCAGTTTCCTTCAACCCCTTCCAGCTGCCTCTATGGCAGGAACATTTTTTTTCTTTTTTTTCTTTTATCAGGCACTATGGTTTACAGTACATTGCTGCTCGGGGGCCAGGCCTGACATGCCTTTCCGCACCCTGTCCTGGTGCAAAGTGACCACTTCCTCTGTCAATGTCCTGGCGGGCCGTTCCCTGACCTGTCCCCGCCTCTCCTTCCATTGGCAGACTTACTTCCGGGGAGCAGTTCTCCTGCTCTCCTATTTCTGGTGCCTTTGGCTAATAATCATTCCCTGACTCTGTGGTTTCTTCATGTCTCGCATATGAGTGAGGTCATTCTGTGGAAGGAGATAGATTTTCGAAATGAAGGTTTTATTGATGTGACTTAGGTTTGCAATGCTGTATACAGTTTGGGAGTGCACCTTTACAACTGGATGTGTGGGTGAGCCTCTCTGCACCAGTCCTGGGCGCCCCTCCCCCATCCTCTGCTCACATCTTTCTGCTCCCTGTCTGGTGACAGTCAGTTTTCCCTCTGTCGAAAACAGTAGATCTGTGAGTCCTGATGTCGATGTATAATAGATTTTGAAAACTGAGGAAAGAATTCAGTGACCTGGAGCACAAGGTTTGCCTAAAGTAGACCCAGGTTTGATCCCTGACACTGCCTGTCCCCCAAACGTGACCAGGGGTGTCTTCTGAGCATTTGGAGCTGGTCGTGTGCCCCCTGACCCCACCCCCCATCCATTTTATTCGCTTTAAGAGTTTTTATTATAGTCATTTTGTGAATTTGATAATACAGTAATGTTTGCAGATTCAGGAATTTGACCAAGAATTTGGTGATCATTGCCAAAAAACTCTTCTACTGCCATGTCCACATTGCAGAAAATACTGAAATGCTCAGCCACCAACTTCCTCGCCATGTTGGTCATGATAGTTCACCAATGAGAATATCAGCCAGTGAGAACAGCCATTAGTAAGGAGTGTGTAATCCATGCCCATTCCCCGGGGACTTTCGATTTTAGCTGGGTTATTCCTTCCCAGACAGCCTGGCAACGTTATTCATCATCTGCTTTAAATAGTATGTCCCTTCGGATTTATATTTCATTTTACTAGGTCAGAGAGGCTTTTATTATATAAGATTTCTAAGCGTTTGCATGTAACAATTTTATTATAATAAAATATCAGGGACCATAAATCAGATCAGATGTCATCGGATTAGCTCTTCTTACATTACTATGCAGATGCACCTAAACAAATTGTCTGTTTTCTGTGATTTAAGAAGAGTTGAATTGATCAAAAGCATTAAATAAAATAATGCCTTGTTTAAATTTTGTCTACAGTAAACTAATAAGCATTGTACTGATGTGAAGTTACAGCATCTATTATTTTAGTTGCGTTGGCGTAGGCTAAATTCTTAATTTTTTTCTTGTTTCTTACTCCTTCTGTTAAACTATCCAGTTATTGGTGTTAGAAGTTAAGTTTCAAGCTTTTCTGTATCTTGTATACATTCATGTTGATGAAAAGTGATACAAGACTCGATTTAATATCTCAAGGAATAATTACTAATTTTAATTGCCAGTGTATTCCTAATCTGAAATCAATTTACATACTCAAGATTCAGTGAGCCTTTTTGGCAGTGCCAGTTAAAACAGATCAGCAATTCTTCCGTTTGTTATTACTATTAGCACCAACCTTGTGGCTATTTTGATAAAATTAACATTTCTGGGACTCGAGTGGAGAGTAAGATTAGCAAAGGCTCTTGACTTCTATGTGGCTAACTCAGGTTTGATCCCTAGCACTTCACAGGGTGTTCTCTACACCTCCAGGAGTGATACCTGAGTACAGAGCCCAGAGTGATCTTCCAACACTGCTGGGTGTGGCCCCCACACCACTCCCCCAATAAAGCGAACATTGAAACTATCCTCTGTGTGGGTTTGATATTTCTATCATAGCACGATAGCCATTTCCTTTCCGGAAGTTCTGGGTGCAGTGATTTTTCTTCTCATCACCCAGGTACCATGGACAGGATACCAGGGTAGGTTTGCAGTTGATCCTCGAATCATCACGCACCAGGCGACCATGGCGTACAACATGAACCTGTTGCAGACACACGGGCGGGGCTCTCCTATCCCGTACGGCCTTGGGCATCACCCGCCTGTCAGCATAGGGCAGCCGCAGAGTCAGCCTCAGAGTCAGCCTCAGGAAAAGGAGCAGCTTGAGCAGAGTCGAAACGGTGAGTCCCCCGCTTTCTCACATGCCACACACGGAGGGCGTTTCATGTTACATGGACACACAGAGTTCCCCCGACAGCACGGCACCTTCATGGATCAGACACCTCCCTGAGGAGAACAACCTCCAGTGAAAGCTATGCAGCCTCTCCAGAATTTACATGCGGACACAGAATTTAAATGCGGACACAGATGCGGAAGTTACGATGGATACTGTCAGTTTCCTGAAGCAGTGTTCAATGTTGTACCTAGAGTGTTTTATTTTATTTATTTTCAGTTTGCAGGGGCCACACCTGGCAGTGCTCAGCACTCACTCCTGACTCTGTGCTCAGGGATTAACCCTGGCAGTGCTCAGGGAACCATTTAGGGTCCCAGCGTCGAACCCAGGTTGGATGCATGCAAGGCTAGCACCTAACCTGCTGTATTATCTCTCTGCACCCTCTAGATTATTTTAAATAGTTGCCACTTAAAATTGAAACAGGGCTGGGGGTCAAGGGATAAAATGGCAGGTAGGACACTTGCTTTGCACACAGCTGACCATGGTTCCATCGATCATGAGCACGGAGCCAGGAATAGAACCTGAGCACTGCCAGGTGTGGCTCCCCCACACCCCACAATAAAGACTATCAAGGTGTGGCCCCCAGACAAACAAACTAAACCACAACCCCCCCTCCCCCCAAAAAATCCAAACTATGGTACATATATACAGTGGAATATTATGTAACCCTCACACCTGGCCTCAGCACATCATTATTATTTTAGTATTTGCTTTAGGGTTGACATTATATATATTTAACTTGTCAAATTCACTTTTTAACCTGTTTATATGTAGTAAAAGAACTTTACAGTATTTCAGTTTTGGTTCTCCTGGCCTTTATGATTGTAAATCATGCATTTTGCTTTTATATTTGCATAAATCTTAAAACGTAGTTATTATTTTTATTTAAACAGTCAAGTATCTTTTTTTGGAGGGAGTGGTCACACCTGGCGATGCACAGGGGTTACTCCTGGCTCATGCACTCAGGAACCACTTCTGGCGGTGCTCAGGAGACCATATGGAACGCTGGAAATCGAACCCGGGTCAGCCACATGCAAGGCAAATGTCCTACCTGCTGTGCTATCACTCCAGCCCCAACAGTCAAGTATCTTTCTAAAGAATTTTAAATAGTAGAAAAGTAACCTTTTCTATCCTTGTAGTTATATTTCTCATCATTTTTCTCCCTAGCTGTATTTAATTTCCTTTTATCTGAAGGACTTTTAGTAATGCAGACTGGCTAGTGATAAGTTCGTTTAGCTTTTGGGGGTCCAATCGACGATCAGTGGGAGGGCCTTTACCTTTTACCTTTACCTTTTTTAAAAGATATTTTTGTAGTGTATCAGTGTCTAACGTGTATTGCTTGCTTTTCTATATGTACTGAAGGCAACAGCTTTTAAATTTCTTTATTGACTAGGTTTAGCAATTTTATTTTGATACATTTTCATACTTGTTGGTGGTCTTTGTTCCTATTGTTTGGGATTTGTTGAGCATCTTGGATATTGTGGCTTATAGTTTTCATTAAATTGGGAAGTTTTTCAACCTTTATTCCTTTAGATTTGACTTAACGCCTCTTTTGTTCAGGAATTTTAACTACCTAGGTTATTGAACAGTTTTCCCACAGTTTTAATATGTTTCTTTCGCCATATTAATGCTTTTTCGGGGACCAGAGAGATAGTCTGGGGGTAAGGCACCTGGTTTACCTGCAGCTGACTCCTGTTCAATCCTTGGTATCATAACGGTTCCCTGAGCACTGCACAGGCAGCCTTGGAGGTGCCCAAGTACTGTAGGGGTGGCTTCAGGGCCTGAGAAGCATGCATCCTTGGGCCTTCTCATTGAACTCCTTGTCCAGTTGATCTAGAATTACCTGGAGCCCCCCACCCCCACCCCGGCACCCCACCCAGCCTCTCAGCTCCCTGAAAAAAGTTTTTGTTTTTTTTTATTTGGGATAGTTTCTATTGCAGTGCCTCTGTACTAAATGTGCTAGTATCTAATATGTTACTTCTCTCAGCCAGTTGATTTTCTGTCTTTGAGAGTAGTTTTCGGTTCTGGGAGTTCAGCAGCGAGGCTCTTGTGGCAGGACAGCACTGTCTTCCCACAGTGGCTCTCCCAGGGCGGGTTCTGCGAACAGGCACCCACACCAGTGATCTTTCTGTGATCCTTAGGCGGGATGATTGGTTGTTAATGTATGTGTGTGGCACGTGCCTCCCTGGAACCTCTTTTACAATTGCCGGCATATTGCCTGTCTGGTGTGGATTTAAAAAATAAGTAAATAAATAAATAATAAATAAGATCCCAAGTGGGGACTGGAGCAATAGCACAGCAGGTAAGGTACTTTTTCATATGCATCTGGCCCGGGTGTGTTCCTTAGCACCAAATACGTTCCCCTGAGCACTGATGACTGTGTCCAAAGCAAAACAGCAACAGCAGCCAAGAGCCCAAGTCAAGAAGACTGCCAAGGAATTTGAAATATCCAATACGTTTTTATAGATTAAAAGCTCGTTTCCTTCATGAAATAGCATGTATAGAGACATCTACTATGTTTGCATCTATTAGAATTGGGATTTGGGGAGGGGACTCTCTTTTGGGGCCACACTCAGTGGTGCTCAGGGCTTACTCCTGGTTCTGGGGTCAGGGATCACTCCTGGCAGAGCTCAGGGAACCATAGTGGATGCCAGGGATTGAAATGGGGTCAGCCGAGCATAAAGCAAGCGCCTTCCCCCCTGTAGTATTCAACCCCTACAAATGTAATTTGATTTAATTTAAGCTTTTCTGCTGTTTATCATGTATTTTTAGTTTGAGGTCTGTTGCTTTTTCATGTATACGGAGTATCTTCATCAGTTCACGTTTTCAGACTGTCTTGTATCACACATTATTGAAGTATTGCTTCGCTGCATTTGTAAATGGCCAAAGCATCGAACTTTTATAAAGAGACAAGAACGTCAACATCTTTCAGATCGATACTTTAATATAATGAGGCTGTAAATTCCAGGAAGTTGGGCGGTTATCTCTGAAATAATTTGATGTTTTAAATTTACCCCCTTATTAAACTTGTGCTTTGTTAAGGTTTGCTTCCTTTATGTATTTCCTTTCTTGCAGAGAAACTGCAATGCGGAATAAGACCTAGGCAGTAATAAAATAACATAAATGGGTGGGAATGTTTATTTTATTTACACTGGTGGAAGAGGGTTTTGGGGCACACCTGGTGGTGCTCAGGGGCTACTCCTGACTCTGTGCTCGGGAGTCACTCCTGGTGGTGCTTATGGGACCGTGTGTGGTAATGGGGATTGAACCGGGGGGTGCAGGTGCTTTGCATGTCAAATGCTTTAACTCCTTTACTATCTCTCCAGCCCAAAATGTTTAAACTATTCCGTATCTTTATATGATACTGCCTAGCGATTAGAAATGTAACCTCTATAGGAGATAATTTATCTGAATTAATTTTTTGTTTTTGTTTTTAGGTAAAAGTGATACAGGTAATCCTGGACCCGAAATTAGTAAGATTCGAACACCAGAGAAAAAATCTACAGAATCAAAACAGGTATGCTGGCTAATTTTGGGGAATACATTGGGGTCTTTTTTGTTTGTTTGTTTTAGTTTGTTTTGGGGCCACACCTGGTTATTCAAGGGTTATTCCTGGCTCTGCGCTCGGAAACCACATCGGATGCTGGAAATCAACTCTGGGTTGGCCACATGCAAGACGAATGCCCTGCCTGCCATCCCTCTTGCCCCGAATGCATAGTTGTGATAAATTTGGTACGATTTCCAATTATCGTAGAATCGGATGTAATTTTTTGTTTGTTTTTTTGTTTTGTTTTGAGGCCACACCCAGCAGTGTTCAGGGCTCACTCTTGGTTCTGTGCTCAAGGATCACTCCTGGTGCAGCTTGGGGGACTATATGGGGTGTTGGGGATTGAACTTGGCTTGACTGCATGCAAGGCAAGTTCCTTACTTGCTATACTCTTTGCTAGCCTGAGAATCTGATACTGTAAAGAAATTTTTTTTTGCTTTATTTGTTTTGGGACCACACAGCACTGTGCCGGGGGGCTACTCGCCACTCAGAGCTCAGGTCATTTCCAGCAGTGCTCCACAGACTGGTGCTGGGGACTGAACCTGGGTCTCCCATGTGCAGAGAATGTGCTATGTGCTCTGAGCTATCTCCCTGGCCCTGCGTGTCCTGAAAGATTTGTGTGTCACGAGGATGGGATAGGCCCTGTTGCTTTCTCCCTTCACCACCACCCCCAATCATCTTCTTCTATTTTTTTTTTTCATTATTTGATTAATGGGCTGGAGCAATAGCACGGCGGATACCGACCCAGCTGACCTGAGTTCAATTCCTCTGCCTCTCTCGGAGAGCCCAGCAAGCTACCAAGGGTCTCTCGCCCGCATGGCAAAGCCTGGCAAGCTACCTGTGACGTATTTCATATGACAAATACAGTAACAACAAGTCTCACAATGTTACTGGGCCCGCTTAAGCAAATTAATAAACAATGGGAGGACAACTGACAGTGACAGTGATTTGATTAATAGACTGGAGCGATAGCACAGCGGGTAGGGCATTTGCCTTGCACGTGGCCGATCTGGCAGACCCAGGTTTGATTCTTCCGCCCCTCTCCGAGAGCTCGGTGAGCTACCGAGAGTATCTTGCCTGCATGACAAAGCCTGGCAAGCTCCCTGTGACATATTCTATATGCCAAACATAGTAACAACAAATATCACAATGGAGATGTTACTGGGCCCGCTCGAGCAAATCGATGAACAATGGGAGGACAGTGCCGATTAATACTATTTTTTTTTTTGAGGAGGTATGAGGAGGTATGAGGAACCCCAACCAGCAGTGCTTGGGGGAGCAATTCCCGGCTCTTCCTGGTGGTCATTCCCAGTGGTGCTTGGGGGACTGAACCAGGATGGGCCCATGTAGGGCCAGCGCCATAACCGACCCTTCCATTCTGTCTCCAGCCCCATGGTTAACCAAATATTGACATGCAGTGATCTTGGATTTATAGACTTCCTATGAAGACACAGATACAGATCAATCACTAAAATGATCTTAGGATGGAAAGAGCCATGAGGGTGATGGAGGGGAAGATAGGGCCCCTTGTGAAAAACTTCTTTTTTTTTTTTCCCCCTTTTTTTGTAGGAGTACTGCTATTTATTCAGCCACTGATTAGCTGATTGAATTGTGCATGAACTCTACCTTACTTTTTTTCCCCATTTTTTATAATTTTATTTATTGAATCACCATGAGAGCAGCTACAAAGCTTTTGGGTCTAAGTCTTGGTCATACAATGAAACACCCATACCTTCACCAGTGCCCATTCTCCACCACCAAAAATCCCAGTATACCCCATCCCACACCCTCCCCCTGCCTGTGGGGCAGATGATTTCTACATTACTCTCTCTCTACTTCGATCACATTCACTATTTCGACACCAGACCCACCATTATTTGAGATTTTACCCCAACACTCAGATCTGCTGAAAAGGCAACAATAGACAGTTTGTGTTCTATTGCTGGTTATGAATAACATATGATGTCGTGTGGCTGCAGTAGGGTCATGTGGTTTTGAAATTCTGAAATTTTAACACTTAAATCTGGAGGGATTTCTGCCAAAAGTCACTGGGTTTAGAGATCTGCTCCTGAGTCTCTGGGATCATGGCCGTTGAGCAGCTTGATGAGGAGCCAAAGAGGCCATTCGAGGACGATGACTTGGGGTCTCATTGGGGTGGGGAAGACAGGCCCGGCTCCACCTCTCCCCCCATCCCGTGAGACCCAACAAGTTTCGTCACTGGGGGCCCAAGCCTGACTGTCCAATGGCCTCTGGAGGATGACAGCCACCAAGTCGCCAAGAGGGAGCAGGCGGGGGAACAGCACCCATTCCCCCCTGGGGTGGCCCGGCGACAGTAACCTACTGCGGGGTCCGGACACATTTCTGACAAAAGCCGCTGGGTTTCGAGATTTGTTTCTGAGTCTCTGGGATCAAGGCCGTTGAGCAGCTTAATGAGGAGCCAGAGAGGCCGTTTGTGGGCGATGACTTGGGGTCTCGTTAGGGTGGGGAAGACAGGCCCGGCTCCACCTCCCCCCCATCCCGTGAGATCCAACAAGTTTCGTCACTGCGGGCCCAAGCCTGACTGTCCAATGGCCTCTGGAGGATGACAGCCACCAAGTCGCCAAGAGGGAGCAGGCGGAGGGACAGCACCCATTCCCCCCTGGGGTGGCCCGGCGACAGTAACGTACTGTGGAGTCCGGATGCATTTCTGCCAAACACCACTGGGTTTTGAGATTTGTTTCTGAGTCTCTGGGATCCTGGCCATTAAGCAGCTTGATCAGGAACCAGAGAGGCCATTCATGGGCGATGACTTGGAGTCTTGTTGGGGTGGGGAGGACAAGCCCGGCTCCACCCTCATCCCGTGAGGCCCTGTGTGTCTCGTCACTGGGGGCCCAAATGTGACTATCCAGTGGCCTCAGATGGATGGCGGCCACTGGGCCGCCAGGGGGAACAGGCCAAGGCATGAAACCTATTCACACCTGGGTTGGCCCAGCACCGGTAGCCTACTGCAGAGACCAGACGCATTTCTACCTAAAGCCACTGGGTTCTGAGATTCGTTTCTGAGTCTCTGGGATCATGTCCATTAAGTAGTTCAATCAGGAACCAAAGAGGCCTTGCCTCCAATTATATAGTTGAGCCGGAGGTGGTTTGTGGGTGTGTTTCCCACATACCTAACTTTTGGCCGTTTACTTTCTTGGTAAACTTTGCCCCAAGTTTTTGGGGTCTGACCAAAGGCATAGCAGCAATTTTGGGGTATCTAGAAGTCTGAAGGCGCCATGAGGCTGCTGATGCACTCGCCTCACAGGTACAGTTGGACCTGCTGACGGCACCATACCTCCATGTGAAAAACTTCTGATTTTATTTTTGTTTAAAAAAAATTTTACTCAAGAATCACGATTTACACAGTTACTGATAGTTGCATTTGAGGCATAAAGTAATTCAACACCAGTCCCTCCACCAGCATCTACTTCCTTCCACCTCTAATTCTCTGAGACACCAAGGTCCCGTGTGACATCTCTTAGAATGCCTCTGGTTACACGTTCGAGTCCTGGTTTATTCCACTCATTCCAGTCAGGGCTTCACCCTTTCTAGGCCGACGTCTCTAGTCTTCTGGACCCTCTGCTGTGGTCAGTCAGCCCTGCCATGGTATGGAGACAGCAGTCAACCAATCACCAGTAAATAGACACCAGCAAATACACACGGCACACCAGTGAATATACCAATGAATACACATGGCCAAGTTCTGAGGGGACTAGAGTCCAAAAGACCTGGTGTGCCAGAATTGGCCCAAGTACCTTAAGCTGTTGGCCCTTCCTCTAAGTTTGTAAGAGAGCACAGAGAAGTATTTTTTGCTTCCGTAATTCTCCAGTGCCAGGCACAAGGCACCTGGTAGGTCCTTGATAAATATTTGTTGAAGAAATAAATGTCATTATCTCAGGGCAGAAATTTACAACAGAATTGCTTATACAAGGGCAAATAGTGTTGCTTTATTTCTTTCCTTCTCCGTTGTTTAAATTGGCTTTTCCCCCTATTAATATCGATACTATTGAGGAGCGAGGTGTATACAATTAAGCCAGAAGGAAATAACACGTTATAATGATTTATAGTGAAGAAAATAAGTGGTTATCCTTCCAGGGAATCATGTGTGAAATTAAAAACGTTTTCAAAGGAATTAAAGTGAATATGTAATAAAATGGCAGTGATGTTCTGATTCATTTAATATGCTGTTGGGTTTTCTTTTTTGTTTTATTATTTTATTTTATTCTTTTTCTTGGAGGGGGGGCACACCCAGCAATGCTCGTGGGGTCGCTGCTGGCTCTGCACTCAGCGATAATACCTGGCATTGCTTAGGGGACCATGTGGTTGGGGTCTAACCTAGTCGGCCGTGTGCAAGGCAAACGTCCTCCCCGCTGTACTATATCACTCCAGATCCTTCTGTGTTTTATCTTATTTTATTTATTTTGCTCTTTTTTTTTTTTTTGAGTCACACCTAGTGATGCTCGGGGGTTGTTCCTGGCTCTGCACTCAGGAATCACTCCTGGCGGTGCTTGGGGGACCAGATGGGATGCCAGGGATTGAACCCAGGTCGGCTCAGGCAAGGCAAACGCCCTACCCGCTGTACTATCGATCTGGCCCCCTGTGTTTTAGTTTACCTAACTGAAACCCTACTCCTCTGTTTCGGAGAGTGAGTGGGTGCATCGTCCTCCTGCCGTTTCAGATACGAATGTGGTTTGGGGTCTGGGGTGGGGTGGGGCGGGGAGGAAGGTTCACCCCCCCGCTGGACTTGGACCTGGTGTGAAAAGACGTCTCTTTCTCTCCAGATGGACTCGGAATCGAACCCACAGAACAGAAGCCCGGAAGCCCGGCCCGGTGTCGTGTACCCCGCTCCCAAATTTCACCGCAAAGAGAACCTCAACCCCAGGCACATCCCCCTCCCGCTGCCCGCGCCCCCCGCACAGTACGCTGTGCCCGGTCGCCACTTCCACCCGCTGGCCCCGCTGCCGCGGCCCCCGTTCTCCGTCCCACAGCAGCACGCCTTGCTGGGCCAGCAGCAGCAGCAGCAGCAGCAGCAGCAGCAGCAGCAGAATCACTTGCCCGAACAACCAAATCCAATACCCCCGCCACCAAGTCAGGGAGTCCCGCCGCAGAATCCGTTGAACCAGCTGCCACCACCGCCACCGCCGCCGCCCCAGCTGTCGCCTGCCTACCCAGCAGGACCCAACGGCGCTTTTTTTGGCAACCCGGTTTCTCATCGGCCACAGTCCCCGCCTGCAGAGGCCGGGATGCCCGAGCAGCCCCCGCCCCTGCTGCAGGACAGCCACAGCCCTCTGCGAGCCGTCCCGCAGCCCGGCCCCCTCCTCCCTTCACACCTGAACAACTTCCCGGAGGAGAACCCCGCAGGCTTGCCCCTCGGGGAGGCCCTCGGTGAGTCCCCCTGTCCCTGCTGGGCAGATGAACCGCTAAAATCCACTAAAATGGCCCCTGCCCGCTCTGTGAGACCAATTTGGGGCCGGCCGATTCATTCCGTCACAGAATAGCCAGCCAAGCCAAGCCACCTTCCTTGGGTCAGAATCTCACTCCAGGTGCGATGCAGTATGAAGCATGCAGTTCCTGCTGAGTTCATAGCGTTCGCTAGATAAAGGAGAGGCATCACCGTCTCCACCGGTTCCTGGCAAATTTAGAAAATAGCCATCTCCAAAAACTGGACCCATTTGTCTTTCTGGAGATCTAGTTGGAAAAGAGATGTGGGGTGGGGGTGGGTGTGGGTGGGGGAGTGGTCTTGCAATTCCAGATGGACATCCATGGAAACGTCCGACTTTTCCCCACCGTCTCTTGCAGATCGCATGCACGGGACTGTGGCTCTGGAAGCCTTGCGGCAGCAGCACATGCGGCTGCAGCAGTGGGGCGAGCATCCTGCCTACCTGAGTCAGGGGAGTCTTTCGTATCCCCACCCTGCCCACCCGCACCCTCACCTCCAGCACCTTCCCCAGCCTCCCCTTGGACTGCACCCGCCGCCCCTGAGGGGCGACTGGAAGCTTCACAGCAGTGCCGAGGAAGAAGCCGAAGCAGTGGACCCAAGGTATTTATTCAGGACTCCACTCGGCCTCTGGAACATGTGTCGTTCCCCCCTCCCTGCCCCCCTCCCCCCCGCTCCCCGTTTTTTCTCCTTGAGCTGTAGCGGCCCTGCTAGTCACAAGTTGGGGTCTTGCCTCCCCCCTCAGAGAAATTGGGAGGTGGACTCTCCGGGCACGTTACTGCCCAGGGGTCCTGACTGCCCAGAGAATTCACGCAGAAGAACTTCCGATGCCATGCCAGGTGTGGCCAGTCCACTGGGACGGTCCACTCAAGGAGCCCCTGCCCGTGCCCTTCTCTGGGAGACGAACTTGGACAGGATACTTGAGCAGGGTTTGCTTTTCATGCTCAAGTCAGACTTGCAAACAGAATGAATAACAGAAGTAAGCTGGTGGTTGAAAGTTTAAAAAATAATAATAATTGCAGCTGTCTTATTAATTCTGGTTCGTGCAGCAGTGCAGAATGCCGCCTCCTTTATTCCTCAGTGTTCATTCCTGACTCTGAGCTTTTTTTTTAAATGATCAGTGTCATGGGAATACAATGAAGTGTCTCCTGACGCCTTCTGGGGAGGTCTGTTGTTATGGGGGCCTCTCCTAACTAGCCTGCCCCTTCCCAGAGGCACATAGCAGCAGCGCCCAAGGTTTCTCACAACAAGGGACAAGACTCAGCGTAGCCCCGGCCACTCTGGGGCCTAATGCTCAGGGCCGAGCTGGAGAAAACGTGCTTTCTCACCAAGATTTTTTGTTTCTGTCTTGTTTCCTTCTGTCCGAATTCCACCGAGGGGGGCTCGAGCCCCCGCGACTGTGCCGGAGCTTGTCTACTGTTCTCTCCTCCTCATACTGTATCGTCTTTACGTAGGTTCCAAGACCTAATCAGAGAACTGTCTAATCGCGACCCAAGCGAGACCCGGGAACTGGCTGAAATGCCGCCACCTCAATCAAGACTGTTGCAGTATAGACAAGTGCAGACTAGGAGCCCACCAGCAGCCCCAGCTCCCCCGTCCAGTGCAGACCACAGTAGCCACTTCCCTAACTTTCCCGACAGCAGCAGAGACGTTGAAGTAGCCAGCAGCCCGGCCTTCCCACCGCGCCTACCGCCCCCGCTCCTCAGCTCGCCCTTCTCATTGCCATCCGAACACCTTGCCCCTCCTCCCTTGAAATACCTGGCGCCCGACGGAGCGTGGACTTTTGCTAACTTGCCGCAGAATCACCTGATGGGGCCGGGTTTCCCCTATGGCCTACCTCCATTGCCTCACAGGCCGCCACAGAACCCTTTTGTACAAATCCAGAACCATCAACATGCTATCGGTCAAGAGCCATTTCACCCATTGTCATCTCGAACGGTATCTTCTTCTTCGCTCCCTAGCTTAGAAGAGGTAAATGCCTTTTCTCTTTTTGCCTTTTCGGTTTTTTGTTTTTGTTTGTTTGTTTTTGGGGTTGGTTGTTTTTGTTTTGTTCTGTTTGTTTTTTTCCTTTTTTGTTCTCTTTCCTTTCCTTTTGGGATGAGTTGATCGTGGAAAAAAAAATTACCGACATTTACAGGTTTGGTAAGAGTGGGCAGATCTTGGAACTTCATTTTTCACCCTTTCGTTGTAGTATTTCAGGCATGGTAGAATGGTGATTATTGTTGAAATCCAAAACCCTTAAGAGCCTGTGATTGCAGTTTTAGAACATTGAACATCTGAAGGATGTGAGAAGGCCTTTTGTTGGTCTGTTTATTCTGGGCGGGGTGGGGGGGCGGGAATCTTTTTTTTTTCCGTGATTCATCCTTTTGTTGCACTTGTTGGTGACAAACTTGTTGATTCAAGCGTCCCTGGAGTGTCCAGTCCCACATTCTCTTCGCCTGGTGCTTCTTTTCTCTCAGTGGCTACACGTGGACCCTCCCTGATGTCCAGACTTCAGGATTCCCAGGTGTTTCACATAGAATTGAGTCTGCTAAACTAAGCATTTTAAACAAACCTTTTTTTTTTTTATCCTAAATTACTTGGTATTTCCAAAGAGCACTTACACAGACTTTTATTGATAGAAGAATCTCAGTAATTCCAGGTTATAAGGTTTTCCAAACAGCACCATTTGGCGTGCCCTTTAAAAATTGTCTGGCTGTTCTCGTTAAGCTTGCAGCTCTGAAAGATAAGAATGGGTAAAGCTGGTTGTGGTCATTATCACAGATGTCTTCTTAAAGCAGGATAGACACTTTCAGCTTTGATATGTGAGGAATACTTTCTGACAGCTTCATTCTGGCAGAGTCTAAATGGTTTCTAAAGGCCTTAGAAATCACTAATTCATATGTTTTGCAAAATTTCTGCTATAGATGCTGATTAAAAAGTCAAGTTCCATAGGAAACGTTCTATATCTTATTTATAGGGTTTTGGTGGTAATTTGCTCATATTCTTCCAGTGTTCATTGACGGGCTCATTTTGTATGATAACTGTCATTAAAACAACATAATTGCTATCTTAGGCTCTGAATGTAAATTATAAGCATCAGATGAATTGGTAACTGTACATATGTATTGTGATGATCTAGAAACTTGGAGCCGCAACTTCCAAAAGATTTGACACATGTGACATTATTTCAAATTATAATGGAATGACTTTACAACTGAACAGTGATGTGATTTTCAGTTAGCGATATTTTATCAACCTGCCTATTTATTGATGATAAAATTTTACGGAACAAAATTCAACATGTTACCCATTTCAAAAGTATGGCCTGTTGGATTTTATTACAAGCAGAATTGTGTAGCAGGCATCACTGTTTGAGTCAGATTGTGTGTGTGTGAGGGGTGACTTTTTTGGGGGGGGCCATGCCTAGTAGTGTTAAGGTGGTCTTCATGGCAGTGCCAGGGGTCTAAACCAGGGCCTCAAACATACAAGGTATGAGCCCAACCACTTCTGTGGCCCCTCTAGAAAGGTTCTACCATCCTTCTAGAGGCCCTACAGTATCCCATACACAGTTGCTCACATTCCTTCCTCTGTGGGGTCCCCAATGACGAATCTGCTTTTAGGCCTCTCAGACATTTCACGTAAATGGAGTCATATAACTGATCATCTTTTGTGTCCGGCTTCTTTGTTTTAGCGTCATGCTTTTGAAGTGCATCCATTTGGTAGCATATATCAGTACTATTTTTTTTTTTTGAGGGGCAGTGCTGTGCTTGCTATACTATATTTCAGGTCCTTTTTGTATTTTTTAAAAAATAACTGTTTCTAAGCCCTTTATTTTTTGCTATTATTAAAGGTGGTTGCTTTCATAATTTTTCCAAAATGGCTTTCTTGAAATTTTCTTCTGAGTTTTCATTACGGGCTATTAGAAATACAGTTAATTATAAATTGGTCCTGTATCTTTGATCTTGCAAAATTCTATTAACTCTGTTTTTCTGTTTGATTTTTCATTTGTTTTGGTATTTGGTCTGCACCCAGCTGTGTACAGGGCTTACTCCTGGCTCTGTGCTCAGAGATCACTCCTGGTGGGGCTCAGAGGACCTTATGGAGTGCCGGGGATTGAACCTGGGCTAGCCTAGCTGGCAAGACAAGCATCTGATCCACTGTACTTTCTCTCTAGCCCTTCTATTAACTCTTTTTGAAAAGATTTTTAATTGAGATTCTGAAGCTTACAATACTATTAATGATGGTTTTTCATGCCCATCATCAGACTCAGTGGGTATTTTTATAAATACTTTCAGACTTTCTGGATAGCTAATAAAAAGCTTTGTTCTTCCTTTCCAATCTGGGTGCCTTTTATTTCCTTTTCTTGCCTAATTGCCCTGGCCAGATCTTCAGGACAGTTTAGGCTACATATTCTGTGAAACAAGAAGAAAGCAAGTACTCTACCATGAGTTTTCCAATTTTTCTTCTGTTACTGAGTTTCCATCTTTATTCCAGTGTGGTTTGAGTATCACTTTAATCTCTTGAAATTGATTGAGACGTGCTTGTTTTGTGGCCCAGCATTTGACCTATTTTAGCAGAATGTTGCAGGTTCACTGGAGGAGAAAGTGTATTTTGTACTTGTATACCGCATTATTCCATAGGCCTGCTGGATATATGGTTCAGATACTTCTAATTTTGTTTCCTTTCAGTCTTCTGTCTGGATTTTATATTTATTACTGAAAGGAGGCTATTGAAGTCTCAAGCAATTAATGCTGTGTATTGTAAATTGCATATTTCTTCTTTCAGTTCTGTCAGCCAAATGCTTGTGTTAAGGGGCGCATGTCATTTGTGTATATTTATATACTCTCATCCTTTCCCATCAGTTTTTGTCTCCAAGTATATTTTTCCTGCTGTTTGTAACCAGTTTCCTTCTGGTTATGGTTTGTATGGAGTGTCCTGTAATCGTTTTTTTTTTTTAAAGTTTATGTCATTTGTTTTTAAAACTTCATGTCATTAGTTTCAAATTTCCAAACCAATTTATTTATTTTTTAAATCCATTGAATTTTAATTATAAGCCCATTTTAAATTTGAGACTGATTTTTTTTTTTGAAGTCTGTATTTGTCCTGTGGCCTCTTGACATCTTTATTAGCTTAACGGCCAGCTCATTGTTACACAGATTTCCTCTAGAACCGGGAGTCAGACACAGGGTCCCGCATCTGCCAAGAGTCTCTTGTGTGTGTGTGTGTGTGTGTGTGTGTGTGTGTGTGTGTGTGTTCATGTCCACGTCTCATGGCCCCGCAGTGCCCATCTTTGCCAAAGCAAAGCGGGACTAACACTCAGGCTGATGAGATTCTCAGGGACATGTTCGAGCTCTGAAACCCCTTGACCCCTGAAGTGTCTCATTCTCCAGCCTTTTCTCCACGGTTCTCATCGGTTGCTGATTCTGGCGGCGCCCACACAGCATCTGCCTTGAGTATTTTCCTTATTTTGCTTTTTGGGTCACACCCAGCGATACACAGGGGTTACTCCTGGCTCTGCACTCAGGAATTACTCCTGGTGGTGCTCCGGGGACCTTATGGGATGCTGGGAATCGAACTTGGGTTGGCCGCATGCAAAGCAAATGCCCTACCCGCTGTGCTATTGCTCCAGCCCCCTGGAAGTATTTTCTAAGTGGCCCCCTTAGCACTAGTTAAGTTCAGAGCAAAACAAGATTGGGACCAGAGCAGTGTAGCACAGCAGGCAGGACATTGGCCTTGTGTGCGGCTGACCCAGGTTCAATCCCCGGCATCTCGTATGGGCTCCTGAGCACTGGAGTGATCCCTGAGCACAGAGCTAGGAGTAAATCCTGAGCACCACAGGTATGGGCCAAAAACAAATAATAAAAAAAACAAAATAGAGTGAGGCAAGAATAAGGCAAGTGTTTGTGTTGTTTGGTTTGAGGACATTTTCCAGGGAGCCACCAGACAGGTCGTAAGAAATAGTATTTCAGGGGCTGGAGTGATAGCACAACGGGTAGGGCCTTGCACATGGCCGACCCAGGTTCAATTCCCAGCATCCCATATGGTCCCCGGAGCATCGCCAGGAGTAATTCTTGAGTGCAGAGCCAGCAGGAGTAACCCCCTCTGCATCGCTGGGTATGACCCAAAAAGCAAATAAATAAATAAATAAACAAACATATTTTTTAAAAAAAGAAATAATATTTTAGTTCTTTGAGAATGGGAATCACAGTTCCAGGGCCGAGGTTAGTCCAACAGATGTATGTCTGTGCAAAATACTCCCCTGGTTGCTGCAGACTTAGTTTGTCAAATTTCAAAAAAGATTCAGTTTGGGTTTTTTTTTTCTTTTGCCAGTTTTTTTCATTGCTTTTATGGAGATAGATGTATGTTTTCTTTTGGTTTGTTTTTTTAAACTAATGCTTTCACCTGTTACCACTTGTGCTATTTCAATTTGAGCTACCAAATGAGTTCATAATGTGTGGGGGAACTGTACCTAAGTTTCTGAATGGTTGTGTGGTGTGTGTGTGTGTGTGTGTGTGTGTGTGTGTGTGTGTGTGTTAGAGAGAAAGAGAGAGAGGTTTGTCTTTTTGCTGAATACTACTCAGTATGATATAATGTTCTTTAATGGTTGACTTAGTTCAGTTGTCTTTAATTTTGGATTTCAGTTCTTTGTGCTTTTACCACTTGATGTTCCTGTTTATGAAATGCAGAGAGGGGCCTTCGCTTGCTATTGGGTTCTTGGAGCTCACCTTTATAAAAACAGTCGGTCACCTTTGCTTGGATGCATGAGATTCACAAATAATGACTGGCTTTTGCAGCATTGAAAAAATGCTTTGACAAGGAAAATATTATTTGTACTGTATTACAGATTTTGACATTTTCAGTGCATTTGGATAACTTTTGTGTATTGTGGGATACAAAATGATTCTGCCCGAATCAATGGTTTATGTACTTGCTGTTTATTTTCAGCCTTTTAAAATCTTTTTTTTTTAACATTAGAAATACAGAAAGTG